AGTCGACCCCGGATCGGTTGGATTCCAATTGTCCAACGCGTTATTGCCAGAGGTAGCAGAGCTGAAGAGAGTGCTGCCTGAAGAGGCAGCACAGAAGAAAGCTCCGCCGGAGGTGGTAAAGCTAAAGGGAGTATTGCCTGAAGAAGCAGCACAGATGAAAGTACTGCCAGAGGTGGTGGAGTCAAAGGGAGTACTGCCTGAAGTGGCAGCACTACAGGAAGTACCGCCGGAGATGGTAGAGCCTAAAAGAATGCTGCCTGGAGAGGCAGCACAGAAGGAAGCTCTGCCGGAAGTGGTAAAGCCAAAGAGTGTACTGCCTGAAAGGGCAGCACAGAAGGAAGTACCATCCAAGGTGGTAATGGCAAAGGGAGTACTACCTCCAGTGGTAGCATGGAAAGAAGTGCCATAGGAGGAGGTAGCACTAAAGGAAGTTCTGCCAGAAGAGGCAGCACTAGAGACTGAGTTTGAAGCCAAGCTCTCTCTGCATTAGAAAGTGCATGCTTCCAGATATCACTGGCCATAGATTTTGGAACCCCAGTAACTGCTTGAATTTGCTGGAAGCTTATAGGAACATCCTGACAACAATAGGTGATGATCACAGCATGCCACCGTAGGGTAATCTCCCTTCCTAATTATTATAAATTAGCCTATCATATATTTCTGTTAGTACATAAGTTCTCTTACCTCACTTCTGATTTACAGTTGGGTGGATCGGGCTCATGGTTGGATAAGAATGTTTGTTGTAATACAGGTGTTTGTCAACTCAGAATGGATTTACCCTATTTACTCAAAAGGCTTGGCACCAGATTTTCTCTTGGGGCCAAGGTGTCCGAATACTTTTGAAATTTGTTAGTACTGTAGTATTTGAGGAGATTTTTGAAAACATTAATGGCATATGAGACCTTTACCATATAATATATATAATATTATAATATAATATAATAGACTTGGGGGGAAAAAAAAGTAGAAAAAAGTGCACATGGATAAATTACTTGCTCAGAAAAATGTATTCTAGGAGAGATATGATACAATGTATCATAAAGACAGAACAAAAATCTGAACAAGAAAAAAAGAAGAAAAACAGAGGGAGAGGAGAGTCGACATCAGACAATGATTTCATTAACAATGGTCTGGCCCATGATACCCTTCCCTTCCCCTTCCATACACCCGTCGATCCCCTCGTTACAATACACAAATAAAACTCGTGCAACCGTCCGACTCCTTGACAGATGGCTGAATAATTTCTTTGTTCGTTTGTTCGTTCGTTGATGAGAAATGAACAAAATCTATCCCAGTATAAACTTCTGATTATGCTTTTGTTCCTCCGCTTTAGATCCGGCACCCGTATCCGTCGTTATATTCATCAATGCAAATTATCATTATTTTCGCCGCCTCGTCTCGTCCGCCATGATGCAATTTTATTTCCCCCCGCCTCCGGGCGCTGTTCCAACTATTTATTATCGATACTCCTCCCGCTCCCCCTCTCGCTGCCCCTTTCACTGCCGCTCGGACTACCACTTCCAGCAACACCCGCCGACCTTCGATGGAGTATAGAGTCTTTGAAGCTGAGCGCCCTCTTAATGCCCCGGGTACTCCATTTTCCATGAGAGCTTAGTGGTGGCCCCCCGCTTGATCCGCCGACGCTTGCTGATAGTGCACTACCACTTCTTCTCAGCCCTCCCCTATTCTTGCCCTTGCCTTTCCTAGAAGGCGGTTCAGGACTCGCCAGCGGACTAGTCACTGGACTCAAAACTGGACTCTCCTCCACGACTCTCTCGGCCGCAGCTGTCTTAGGGGTGACCTCGATTTCTGTGGTGCTAGGACCTCCACCCGCAGTGTTTTGCGCACTAGCGATTACCGGCATAAGGCTCAATTCACCGGGGGGTGTATCAATCATTTCCGGGGTGACGGCCTCGTTCTCTAACATGCTGCCATTTCCGGGAAACCCCGACGGGTGGGAAGGAGCCAGATCGATAAGCGACTCATCGGTGTCCTCGGTTGATGATTCAGATTCATCGTCCTTCTTCATCGCCGCTTTCTTTTGCTTCTGTTCTGCCCGGATTTGCTTTCTCCACATCATCGCATAACGCCCATTCTTGGCAAGTAGTTCGTCGTGAGTGCCGGCTTCAGCGACTTGTCCTTCGTGAAGGCAGAGAATTTGATTGGCAGCTGTGATGGTTGACAGGCGATGGCTATGGATCGGAAGAGGTTGAGTTAATACTATGCATTGACGCACACTCGGTTGTAATGTTCCAATAGAAGCAAACCAGCAATCAACAAATTGGTGGGCAAAGGGTAAAGGATGCAGGTAGATGCAAGTTGTCCCCCGCATGGGGTAGTACTATCACCCCAGCCGCGAAACTAACAGCATAACTAATACGAAGGAATTTACTTACGCGATGACAAGGGTAGTTCGACCTTTAGCAAGCTCCCTCAGCGCGGCCTGAATATGCTGCTCTGTTTCAGAGTCCAATGCAGCAGTGGCTTCATCTAGGAGAATTATTTTGGGATTTTTCAAGATCGTTCGTGCAATTGCGACCTGGACCTCACTTTATTAGCATGCTGTTAAGACCCGCCCATTTGTGACCCTCACCCTTTGCTTTTCCCCCCCGGAAAGCCTTAACCCTCGCTCGCCAACCTTAGTGTTATAGCGATCAGGGAAGCTCATAATCTTATCATGGATGCTGGCTGCTCTGCAGGCCTCGAATACCATTTCATCAGTTGCGTTAGGGTTGGCATATTTCAAGTTGTACCTTTCAATCAATCAGCATATCCGTGTCTTCGTTCTTGCGATCGCTAGGATGGGGATAACTCACATTACGCTCTCGTTGAAAAGCACGGTGTCCTGGGGAACAACGCCAATATGCGACCTCAACGAGTCGATCGTAATATCTCGTACATCCTTTCCATCAACCTCTATACTACCCTCCTCGATGTTATAAAATCTGAAAAGAAGCCTCAAAACCGTTGTTTTGCCACCACCACTCTCACCAACAAACGCAGTAGTAGTTCCTGGTTTAGCCACAAAGTCAAGCCCGCGTAGGGCTGGCTTCCGAGCATCATAAGAGAAATGCACATCCTTGAAGGAAATTTCACCCTCGCATTTAGTAAGCTTCTCAGCGTGCGGCGCATCAACGACGGTAGGCTGCTCCTTGAACTGTAAATCAAGGAGGTTTGCATCAGTATAAATCAATGAACCCCGGACAAAAGACTTCTCACCAATTCAAGCATACGCTCGGAGTTGATCATGGAACTCTGGATGCTTCGATAGAATGTCCCGAAGAAGTTCAAGGGGCCCTAGTTTACTCACTTAGCACACCGATCACGGTGACAGGAGTTCGGTAAGTTACTAACCTGTAACTGCGCCAGATATGCCAGCAAGGAGACGAAACTTCCAACCGATGTTTCACCGGTCGAAACTTGCCATGCACTCAGAAAACAAGCCACAACAAGTCCGATAGTGAAAACGAGGTTTTGAGTGACATTCATAATGTTCAAACTGAAGAGGACCTTGTACTCTGCCTTCTGATAGGCTCTGACAGCATCTCTATACCTACCAAACTCGTAGCCTTCGGCGTTAAAGTACTTGACAGTTTCATAGGCTACCATAGAATCGTTTTTGACAGCATCCTCGTCGCGAGACCTGTTGACCATCTCCCTACGAATATCCGCGCGCCATTGGGCCATCCTCACTGTAATGTACAAATAACACAGGGTGACAATAGCCACGATAAGCGCATAATACCTAGGTACCAGAGTCAGAAGGTGTTATAACTGAATAATGAAAATATCCGAAACTCACGCATCAAAAGAGACAAGGAAGTATACAACTGCAACCACCAAATCAAACAACATGGGAACGACTTGGAATGTAACTTGTTCAAGGAAGGTATTAATAGCATTGCCCTTGCTAAGGGCACTCAAAACTTCTCCAGTCTTTTTGCCAAGATGGAAGTCGAGTGACAGGGAGTGAACATGTTCAAACGCTGAGGTTGATAAGGCTTGGTACGAATATTGGCCAATCGGTATCCACAACATGCTACGGATAGCACCAAGAATACCCATGTTGCCTTGAAGGAACCTGTAAACAATATATAGAAGTATTTGGACATATGGGAGACGTGCTGCCATTTTGATGGGTTAGTCTTTCCGAAGCACACAAACCACAACATGAAATTATAAAGACAAGGATAATATTACGCAGTTCTCCGTTTGACCCGCCGAGGATATTTGTAATCTTTCCAAGTTGTATCGGCACCATCACGTTTATACCACGTTGGAGCACCATGAGTATAAAACAAATTATCATGAGGAACTGCAGCCTCCTATCCTTACTTGGCCAGAGGTATGGGAAAAAGATGGTGTAGCCTTGGACATATTCCCACCAGCTTTGCTTTCCAACAACAGCCCGCCTACCCCATCCAGCCGGGGCATGAGTCGATGGCTCTGGGACACCATGTTTTCTATGCGCGGGGACAGAGCCATAATCTGGCGCACCGTCGACCGTAGATGAGGAAGAGGAGGCTAAAAGTGAGCTGCTCTCCTCCGAGTCACTATCGTCAGATTCCTGCCCCGAGAGTATGATGAGGAAAACGTATAGCCCGACCAATAGCACGAGGAAGACAATCCGAAGAACATCGATAGATAAGTCTACAATATCCCAATTGTGTAGTGAAAAGCGGTTTTTGGAAGCTCCGACACCTACACCACTCCCACCAATCAACGGACCATGCTTCTCTCCATAAGTGAAAATGTTCGCTACCAAGAGAACAACCTCGCCAACCAAACCAAAAAACCACGATGCGAGATGGGGTAATGTGGGGTAAAGGATGTTATCAAGCTGCGAGATTAGGATGATTGCATATATGAAGAGCAGCGAGACAGTGCAGATCTAGATGGGAGCCGAGTACATTAGTGACCAATGACCAAAGTGCGTATTCAGGAGGTACGTTTCACTCACAACATAATCTTTCCCGCACCACCAACCCTTCTTTGTCAAAGCATGCAAAATGACGTTTGTTGAGTTCGCGACTAAGGTGAAAATTACACCGACCAATAACCAATTGAACGCGGCCTTTCTCAGCGGAGTTAGTTTATCATCGGCCACCTTCTTTCCTTTGGCTTTCGCGCCTCCGGGAAATCGCTCTGCGATCCTTCCGAAAAGGCCACTGTTAGCTCGGCCCGACCTCTGGCGCCTTTTCTTTCTCTTCCCGTTGTCGTAGATGCCAGTAACAGGCGGTGGAGTGGGTTTCGAAGATTCAGAAGTCGAGATCCCCCACCAAGTCAGTGTGAATAGAAAGAAGAAAAAGAGAGATACTGGGTAGGCGTAGTGGATGTAGAACACGACATCCGGTGCTAACGAAGTCCCAGGATGGTAGGTGTCGCCCAAGGAGACAATATTTCCATTATTCTCCATATTCGATCGAAGAAGGGTTGGGGGATGAGAGAAGGAAGAAGGGGGTAGAGAAGGAAGGTAGATGCTGTGAAGGGCCCCGGATCTCCTCCCCCAAACCTCTCGCTTTTCTCCCTTCCTTCCTTTCTTAGTGACTACTTGTACAGAGCCCTAACTCACGACGGCGTTATGAGATTGTATGAGGCAAACCTCACAGTGGTGGCGGTGTAAGAGAATGACGCAAGACAATCCAATTCGACAATGAAGCAGCGGCAAAGCTGCCCTTTGTTACTGCGGGTTACTTGACGCAGGCGAGAGGGCGTATGATACGGGTTGGAGGAAATGGTTGAGAAAAGCGTGGTGCAGACTGCAAGGAGCGGAGTGGTTAAGCTTCAAGGAAACAAACCTCACTCCTTTCTCCCTCCGTCTATCGTTTACCTCGTTCACCACACAAGGCGGCAGTGAGCAGCAGAAAAGAAGTTCAAGAAAAATAATAATGCGAGTTTATGCCTGAGGAAGAAATAGAAAGGGAAGAAGGGAAAGAAAATAAACACCTCCAAAGTGAGAAAAAAATCCTAGAAAAGGGCTTCAAGTCTTTGCAAGCAAACTCGAGCGCCTGAGTCAAAAGGTTCCTATTCCTCTACGGTATTGTCCTCCCTTCTATTTTTGCCCCCTCGTTCCAGACTTTCCCTCTCAGCGCGTCAGATAGCAGAAAAAAGAAAAGAGAACCTATCAGGTAATAATATGATACTTGCGGAAGAAGGGAGAATTACTGCGGTATGGAAAAAAAAGAGGAGACGAGACGAGAAAGCCCAGAAAAGGGAACGGAATAAAATCTTGACGCGCCTTGTGAGACGAGAGAGAGAGAGAGAGCGCCTAGCACGCAACCCCAAGTTGGGATGCAATTGAACTAGAGCAGAGAATTAACCGGGGAAGAAGAGCCATCGACGGGCTCGACTCCGGAAGAAAAGCAGTTTTTACGGTTGTGAAAGAAGAGGGTTAGGTCAGCCACCAGAGCGGAGGCCAGACCAGGAATCGGCTCCTCAAAAGATGCCCCCCGAACCTCACTCCTCCCTGCCCCAGTGTTGAGGAAAGGTTTATTATTGTACCAGTATGTACCAGGTACCCCCATCGACTACCGGTATCTCACTGGTTTATCCGCATTCGCTTACTTCTTCCGGGCGAATCCAAGCTCGCTTTTTCGGCAGTTCTATTCTTCCCCGGGATCCCATTGGTCCTGCAGGCTGCAGGTCTGCAATACCGTAGAAAAAGGAGGAAAAAAAATAATAAAAAAACCAAAACCGGTTCGCCATGCGATGTGCCCTGAGCAATGTTCCACTGTATGCAATCAGTCAATCATGGACAACTCACTTCTCCTCTTGGGAGAGATTTCTTGCTGTGTTCCTGTGGGGATCTGCTTCTCACCGCGCTGGAAAAAAAAACACCCCAAAAAAAAGAAAGAAAGAAAGAAAGGACTGCAGCTCTCGTGGGATTTTATCGAGGCTTCTTTTTTCTGCAAAGCTTGGAAAAAGTGGGAGGATATGCCCAGGACGACACAGGATGCTTACCGGTATCTACCGACTGTTATCGTACTGGTAGTGTCTCTGTTCTCGTATGGCTCCCCGCGTGAAATGGAATGTCCCTCGGATATAGTCTACCGTGCTATTCGAGCAGTATCCCCGAGCGCCGTACCCTGGCGGAGAAACCGCGAAGCCCATACTGTAATCAGACAGAATGTCGGGGAGACAGATAACGGAGTGGCACCTAAGCACTATCCGCGTTCAAAGCGAGCTTTTTTCCCGCCCCGATTCTATCATCGATGGCGGTACGAGTACTCGAGTACAGTACAAACCTGATCCAGGCGCTCCGCCCATCGCCGACATGGACCAAGATAAAGAAAGCGGCTTCCCCGTCCAGCATTAAATTATCGCTGGCACGGCTGGGTAGTGAGCTACGAGTACCGAGTTCTTATCATTAGGGAGGTTCTGTAAGCGGTCATGAACGTGAACTTGCTCTTGTTGCCACAGCAACACTCACCCACTACCCAAACATGGTTGGGAAGGCAAGCTAATTCAGGTGCACACCAGAAAGCAGGCTAAGCGTGAACTTGTATAGTTCATGAATTAGTGTGAACTTGAGCATGTACGAGTACAGTACTCGTACTATAGATACTCGTAAACAATGTAAACAAAGTGGCTGATTGGCCCAGGATTATTTTATGCAAGCTACGATAGTAGCATGTGTCTATTCTGGATAGGGATAAATTTATCATGTCTGTTCAGGTTCGGGTGCTCGAATATTTCTCCTATCCCCCAGAGCCTGTTTTTCTTGATGAAGAGGATAGTCCATTTGTGACACAATGCAGCGTTCATGTTCAGGTTCACGCACACGACAGAACCTCCCTATTATAGTCAGTCCCGTCCAGTCGCAGTCGGACGGCCGTCGATGGTCGTCTGACTGGACGACTAGGAGCACCGGTGTTAATATACCCAGTGGCTGGAATAGTGAGAAAAAGAAATTTGAATGTGAGGTTGTATCATAATATTATTATTATAAAAAGAAAGGAGTGTAAGCTACTCTTGGTTCCAATAACTCCTACGGAAAGAGAGTAACACACATCACCCACTCACATAAGAAAACAAGAAAATAAATTTCAAACCCTACTAAGTATCACCCTACTAAGTATCACCACTAGTCTCGCCTTCCAAGTTCTCACATCCACAGTTCCAGTGCTATGATATGACGGGAGTAGTGTATGCATCAACAGAATATTCTATCTCACAAAGCTAGAACAAAACCGAAAATACAGAACCCTTCCAACAGACCAAACCCTGCGATTCCTCCAATAACTTCCGGGGTCGGAGCAAGGGGCAGTATGTCAATTATAGTTTTTAGTACAACCACTCGATAGAAGTGTTCGCGATCCGAGACATGTTTTTAATCGTGATTGCGCAATCGGCCAAGTTGGGGTCTTGGAATTCGTTCCCTCATTGCTCCCCTTTACTGGAAGTCAACGACCAAGGAGTGATTGGCGAGCCCGGATAAGAAAAAGTGGTGATGAACGGAGAGCATAGCTGAATAGTGGGAACAAGAAAGATATAAATCGATATCTAATACCCCATTAAATCTCCCCCGGTTTCCAGAACTGCAGCTACTCCGTCATGTTTGATACTGGACTTTGTACATGTTTCTATAATTTTTCGGAAAACATCTCAGGAATCATCCGGCAAACTAGGGTAAATTTTATGCTACCCTCTTCTTAGCAGCTAATTACCTCCGTGGTACCCACAATCCTTGGGTATGATACAATCGGTTTCTAAACTCAACTCATATGTATTTTGTAGTGTTTGAATGGGGGAAATAAAAGAGTATTCCACAGTCTCAATATTGTCGGTTTCGACTTCTTCATACCCATACAAGCTATACAAATTAGGGGAAGAAATTTCTGAATACCGCAAGCTAATATCCGCCGAATAATCCCTTTCTTAGTACCCCTCATATCTTGCAATGAGCTGTTCTTTTAGCAAGGGCGGACGACTAATGTGAGGCATGTTTTGCGAACGCTTCTGTCCAGTGGCTGTACAGTACACTTTGGCTATTCGAAGGAGCCCACTTACTCACTTACCTTACCCAAGTACCGTACGCCCAGACACAAGAGATTTCTCTGGCGTCTAGCCCGCCCGCTCTGCCCCCAGGACTTGATATCACCAATAACTTCTTGGCTTTAGCAATGTGAATTCCCGGAAACCCCCCAAAGCAACCCATTATACAGGTCTGCCGAACCCACATTTCCATACCTGACCATCAATACCCTTGCTAGCCCGTTCCTTAAGCCTACTACCAAAAGCAGTCCCCCCAAGCCCTGATACACCCCTAGCGGTGAGGGCTAGGTTCGCAAGTCCTAATAGTTTATACTATTATCATAGCTATCATAACATTATTATGCTATTATGATACATAGTATCATAGTTAAGATATCACACTAACTGTTAGAAATGGTTATGTAGCTATTGGACTGGACGAGATAAAGGATTGATTGTGTATTGAGATTTTTCAGAGTAAAGAATTAAGGAGAAAAGCAATCAGAGAGAAAAGGAAGCGAGAAGCGCAGGAACAACAGGAAGAGGAGGCGGTTAGCCTTCCATCTTCGCATGTATGCTGGTCAGGTGTTTTTGGGGTGTGTACGTAATCTACTATCATAATATTATTATGTAGATACATCATTCTTACTTATGAGTAGTGCCGCCTAGTCAAGGACCCCCATGTGTGTAGTAGACCTCCAATCACAGGTCCACACTTTTCTTGTTCTGGTTCCGTATTTTATCTAGAACTTCCCTAACACTAACCGCTCCCCAGGGCCAAAAAAAACTTGCGTAGCCCGAAGATGATACTAAAAGCGTGGCTCGCCAGGAGTTACGATATCATACCTAGGGAATCCCAATCACCCCACTGACATTACATCTCCTGGTACTAGGTTTCAAGTAACTAGACACCTCCTGGCACTGCCTCTTCCCCATTCGCCTCCTTTTTTTTCCCCCATTCTCCATCTTTCTTCACAGGGCACCCGGACGCACTCGTGCTAGCTAGGCTATAGTCCGAAAGCCCCAGGAGGGCTGCTAACAGTCGGTACTGGTGGCTATTCCCACGGGCACTAGAGTTGTAGAGCAAGGTTTAGGTGAGCCAAGAGCAAGAACTCGGCATTCACGCCTTTCTTCTTGAATAGTCTCTGTCTCCGGCGTAGCTGGGAAATACGGTTCTTGCCATTCAATAATTATATGCTCCCACCAATTTAACGAATTGATTCCCCCCCGTCTAGATTGTTGGGATTACTAGGAGATATATTACGGGGGAAGGGGGGGGGTTTAAAAAAAAAAAAAAAAAAAGTATGTTAATTGATAGTTCTTAATAGAGAGATAATTGATCGATGATGCGCCCTTTTGTTGGAGAAGGGAAAAATGTGGTATGATAATATTATCATACCATAACACAGCCACACTTTTACTTCTTTGATATCACATAATAAGTATTACAATAATATTATTATGATAATTGTATTTTTTATTATTTCTTATTCAGTAATCAACTAAGTTAGGTCCCAATACCTATTTACCTTAACCTTCCATAATCAACCAAATAACATATCACCCCATTGTCCTTTCACTCCTACAGATTGACAATACTGACCTCCCCCAACCAAGCACTATATTCCCATCACTCTCACAAATTGTCAATACCGTTCCTCCAACCACCCAATCCCGGCAATTATTACGACACCCGTATTTTATAGCCAATTTTTACTTCCCCCAATTCTATATGGAATCCCAATAACAAAGACCCCATACCTCACTCAATAACAGCCATCGTGAAGTCTCGACACGCAAATCTTCTCAGCCACGCAACACATTTTCCATCACCCTTGCGCACGCTTTGGAATACCCCCACTCGTCGAACAAAACCAACACTCGGAAAAGGACTCGTCGCCAAGTTGAAGCCACGGAAACGGTGGACTGACCGACACCCGCTGCCGCTCATGGGTCGGAACGTTTTTTACTGCACGGCACTGTCTACTCGCAATGTCGAGGCGTTTTTCGAAAAGACTGCTATTGCGTGACGTCAAAAATTGGCCCCTTTCGCTCGGGTCTAGGCGGTATGCGGTAGTAGTTCTTTTTAAAAACGCCTCGGCACTACTTAATACCAATATGTTGTACTAGATAATCCACTGGTCAAACGCTGCCATCGGCAAACCGGTCTCGCATCCAAACTACAGGTAATCGTGCGCAGGAAGCGGGGGAATAAGGTTGGTAAGAAAGGGACTCTACTACGGTAATCGACCAATGATACCATGCCCTGTGGGACATTGGTTATCCAAAATTCTAACCATCCTCGATTAAACCTTGTCACCCGGGTATCACATCTGAAAGTAGAGTGACTGACTCACACTCGTCACGCGTCTATCAAAGCCTAGGATCGGTGGCAGGAATGATTCTCGACAACACATATATATATATATGAAATACCAAATCTACCCACAACTGTTCTATACCCCGGAAATATATTACCATCACCTCTGCTGGCTAGGTAGCATCTCCCCGAGTTCGAGCTTTGGCTATCTCAACCTTTTGCGGTGCAGAGAGCGCCATCAGAATGGGTGAAGGTTCGAAACAGAACCCTGGCATCGCTCAGTTACCAGTAGGCTAGCATCCAATGTAATTGCCAAACACTGACCATCCCACAGATACAGTAGGGAGCCTTTGTTACCGGGGGGGGTCTTTACTGTTTCCTTACTCCCACCATCAGCGTTCTTTTTAGCCTCTCTCTACCTTACAACCATCTTCGAACCTACGCTCGGACAGTCTAGCTAACGAAAATATCATGCACCCATCACTTGGTAACGCACATTCTATCTCACCGCCTCCCTTCCCATAACCAGTACTCGAGTACGTACATTACCCACAGCAGTCTATCCACAAGTCAACGCCCATGGCACAGCCTCTACTTACCATCCACTCAAACCCTGCAGCCACGCATACCCCCCCCCCCCAGCTTTATCCCAGTCTTCATCAAGCCCTCACCCCTGGCCGGAGAATTGCACTACCAAGTTTCACTCACTCACACCCCCTCACAGGGTCTCACTCGACCACTTAGAAAATCTCTCTCCCCTTGCTTTTTCCACACATGCACACACCTGCAGCGCACAAGCCGCATGATCACTATTTCAATTCTTGCAAAAAAAAAAAAAAAAAGTAAACCTCAGCTATACTCGAGTACTTGTACCATACTCGAGTAATGTACGAGTAGAGAGTATCGTAAACCAATGTCACACGCATCGGGCGTATTGGGAATTGGGCGGTTGGGAGATAAGGAACGTATGTGGTGGACGGGGCGGGTAGGTGTGAGTGGATCCTGAGAAAGAGGAGGGGATGGGAGGATCGGGGAACAGGATGTCTTGAAGAGGCTTGGTTTTTATATTTTTGGTTTTTTTTCTTGATTCGGTGGAGCTTTCGATTGTGGTGTGGGTGTTATACGACGTAGATCCACAGCTCATGTTGAACGAAGGAGATTGTCTATTACGACCGTACAGCAATGAGAAGGCAGACCTACCACCCCCTCTACCACCCCCTCCACCTTGCCCAAACACCAACCACAACCTCATCCTCGTCAACGACAAAGTACCTCTCGTATCCACTACCCGCAATGCACGCATGCTGCGGCCAGATCCTAACCTTACTCCCAAGCCGAACGCTGCTCACATTCCCGTTTGGAACCTCCGTGAGGATTCCATGCTCCTGGGAGATGCGACCAACGACCCACCCAGCGCCCTCAAGCTCGTGCTCAAACTCTGCTTCGTTCTCTGCACGCCAGCTCGAGACGGTGCCCCAGCCCGAGTACGCCCTTCCCGGCTCCCGCCCGAGGCCGACGGTGCCAACATTTATGAGGGCTTCGTTCTCACCGCTGGCCCCCCGACGGGGGTACAGTGAGACTACTTCCGCGAGGATCGTTAGCGCGAGGTCGGAGGTTCCTAGGCCTTCTGGAGTGGCGGTGGAGGCGTGGGTTGATAATTGTTGGAGGTCGAGCATTGTGTATACCCCCGCGTGGAATTCTACGTGCATGCCCTTTTCCCGAAGGTCTGCAAAGAAGGAAATCATTTTTTGGAGTTTTGGCGGTACTTGACCAGGAATTCCCGCTCCAGCAGTAGAAATAATGGTCGGGGTTGCACCGACGGACAACGTCCAGCCAGTGAATAGTGGTGGCAAGACACCCTGCGCCTCGGCCTTGCCTGCCGCATCAACCGCTGTATCGACCTCCTCTCGCAGCAAGGCCAGTGCCTCGTCGGAATCACTGACGCTGTAGGAATGGCCGGCGTGGCAGTAGAATCCTGCAAGACCGATGTCGGACTCCTTTACACACGCCAGCAATTCCCCGAAGGCCGGGGAGTCATGCGCGATGCCGGCACGGCGGGTGCCCATGTCTAGTTTTACATAGACGTTCCAGTCCACGCCGGCGGCTCTGAGTGCACGGACTTGGGCGGGGTGGTCGACCAATACAGATATCTCCAATCCCGAGTAGGATTCTTCGAGCCTTTGTAGCCGGTAGATGGACGATACGGGGATAGGCATCCCATAAAGAATCTTTGCATCTCATCAATAAATGATTGGAGAAATCATGGCAAGTAGGAGGAGGAACACACATCCTTAACAACACCCTCCATAATCAATGGACCCAACCCTTCGGCTTCCCTCACGGTCGATATAACAACCTTCCCACCACGAGCCTCCCGGCCAAGCTGCAGCCGACTAACCTCCACCGTCTGGGCATGCCAAACCATCCCGTAAGCTAATCTCCATCTAAATATAACCTAGTCCCGTACAACCATTGCTTTTTCATATCGCCACCTCGAAATAGACATCAGAGGAGAACAGAAAAGAGAGGGAAAAGCCCACCTTATGAGTCTTTACATGCGGCCTAAACCCCACAGACAACGCATCCACTGCCTGCAGTACACGAGAGCAGTTTTTCTCCAACACCGGCCGGGATATGACAGCCGAAGGCGTTGGCAACATATGTATCTTCTGTCCAATATATTCGGCCATTTTACGTATTTCTGGGGGGAAAAATCTAAGTGGTCGGAAATCTGACTGGGAATTTGATTGAAGCCGAATTGAATCCAACTGAGCTGAGAGGTCTCTCATTTGGTTTGGATTTACTTCTATATGAGCTGCCCACCTCCCCTGGGCAGGGTAAGTTGCTGCAGGATACCGGTAGTCTACGGCAGAACAGTGCTATTCATGTATCATACCCACGACGAAACTGGGCTGGTGACGAACAAGGATCAGCAACAAGTTTTTGTTACCCTACTTTGACGAGTTCCATTCTGCCCACCAAATACAGCACGCTATTCGTCACCAGCCCGCTTTCGTCGTGGGTACTATTCGAGTACGAGTACAGTACTGTACAGTGAAGACTGCAGTAGCGATACCTAGACTAGAAAGTGGAAACCGAACATATTGCAATGCTGTTATCACAAATTATTAATAACCTACCTTACCTCATTGCCTAACCTTATCAAATAAAGTGAGCACCTAGCGAGATAAATCATAAGAGAAAAAAATTAAAAAATAATACCAAAAACGCCTATGCTCTTGATATATACAAGCAAAACTCAATAGGCAGGTCATAACTTCATTTACAAATTATGAATGGCTAGAATGAGATCCTATCAGATGGTAATGGTGACAAGTAAAAGAAAAGAAAAAAAGAATTAAGGAGAAGAAGACTAGCCATTCTTCCCCCGACTCCTTCACGCCTATGATATAAGATGAAAACCCCCAGGATAAAAAACGAGAACTGAAAGGAAATGCGAGGAAAGGAAAATGTGTATGAACTCCCGCACGTTTATCATCTAGGATCCACGGCATGCGGCATACCTCAATGAACCAGAGTTTTGACATCAATCTGCTAATCACCACGGGTGGTGCCTCGGGGTGGTAGCCATAGCAACACCTGTCACTATGGAGAATACGAAATTTGATATAATGAAAATAAAAGAGAAAAAATAAAATGTCCGGGAGCAGATGAGTGGGGCGCAAGTTAAATGAAGGGCTTTCTGGCAACGATAAAGTAACTATTCCCGTTAAAATTCCAGGGCTTCAACAAGGCACTTCGAGGGAACGATGGGGCATACTTTGGATTGTACACATGAATGTGTTTATTCTTGAGATCCCTTTGAGCCCTTGTACAAAGTTCTCTGGCTTCCTCCCCTGTCATTCCTAGCACCCGCGTGAATGACGCTAGCCCGTATGCCTCGAAAGAGCTATCTGAATTGAGCAACGCCCAGTACCCTATTTCTTTCATCCTAGGGTCCCTGGGCCAGGGGCCCCAGGGCATGTTGCGGACTTCCTCCTATCCTCCTTGTCAATACCCTTGACCTGCTTCGCTATATGCATGCGGGAGTGGTGATTAGACGTACCGTGACATTTACAAATCCGGCGTTGGTGACTAATTGCCTTAGCTTTGTGGCGATAGCGGGTAGACCCATCTGCTCCAGTGCTAGATTGAGATTGTGCATGTATTGGCGCAGAGCACAATTCTCAGGATAACTACCATCGTCGCTACGGACGTCCATTAAGTGCTCGATCAGCTCTACATAGCCACCAGGCTTCAGGTGGTGGAACATTTGGGCGAGGTAGGTTTCCCAGTTCTTGATGCTTTGGCCAAGAAGTCGAGAGTGTATAAAGTCGAAATGGCCCTGTATAACCCCAACGTTAGCGCCATTGAAGAAGAGGGGGAGGGAGCGGGTATTACCGGTGGCCACGTCCATTCAAGTTCTGCATCGTCGACCTCAAAACGGCAGTTCGGTAGGACCATTGTCGGTTGAATGGGGCTTAAGTCAGTTCCTATGACATGAGCATGCGGAAAGTGTCTAGCGTGATAAGGACCGTTAGCAATTGAGGGTCTCCAGGCTAGTCCCCGTGGAACCTACTCCGCCATATCGAGCGCCCAAATCCCAGTTCCCGTGCCGATGTCCAAAATTCGTTTGGGTGGATTCCGATCTAGCGGCGCGAGAAACAATCTCCCATTCAACATTTTCAGAAAGATTTGATGGTGCATATCGAGCCTATGGTATATTAGGGGCCCATGGTTCAATTCCGGGGCACTCAATCCCAACATACCGATCCTGCTCCGTCTCATCATTCGGCATTGGATAATTGCCCTGCGAATAAGAATGGTATCGGCGACCTGCATAATGGCATTTTAGCAGTGAGTTCTAAAGGAAATCGAGTCAAGCCAGGATGTTAAGCGACAGGTGGGGATCCGAAAACAAAAACAAAAACTCACCATGTTCGTACTGGTAGTCGACTACACTAGACGTTATCGACACGCACCCACTCGGACTATTCCACAACCCATCCAAGCTCGTCGATCAGTCACGGGAAAACTCCGGGGAAATGGTACGTGGAGCGCAAACGCAGGGGGAACGGGAAGTAGGCAAAGTTACATGTTATGCAAGGAGGGATTGCCAAGATTCCAAAGAGGGGCAGGACAAAAACTCACACTTGATCCTCATCACTTTCATGATAGTCCTAACGTTTCCAATCAACTCAATGCCCCACAGGTCCGTACGAAATTAAGCAGTGAGCACAAAACATACCATCCCAGAGTCCACCTCAATATTCGTGCAATCAAGGGGCGGAAGTGCCGCACCCACGGATTGACCACTCATCGTGCTATCGAGGGGCGGAGGTGCCCTACTCACGGGTTGTCCACTCACAGTGCTATCGAGGGGCGGGAGTGCCCCACCCACGGGTCGTTCACTCATAGTGCTATCGAAGGGCGGAAGTGCCCCACCCACGGGTTGTCCACTCATAGTGCTATCGAGGGGCGGGAGTGCCCCACTCACGGGTTCATTCATAGTGCTATCGAAGGGCGGAAGTGCCCTACCCACAGGTCGTCCACTCATCGATTAATATCGCTCGCCTAGTGGCTAACAGATGATAGAAGCAAATTAGATGAGAAGAGTAGATGGTAGTAAAAAAGAATCCGGCGAGTTGAAGTTGGCAATTATAGATGCAGTCGAGTTTGTTCCTTCCTTCCGCGAAACAGGTAACGAATAACCTGAAAGGATGAGCGGACCCAGGTCTTCGGGAGAGTGTCAGGTACGGGATGGATAAAATGGAAGGCGAATAAAAGGCGAAAGGGCAGCTGTGCAACTTTTATGGAAAAAAAAAATCTTCCACTTTGTATTGTGGCCCCCGAACAGGATTATATACGGACCCAAGGAGCTGGGAGCCGGTAACTTTGTTTTTTTTAAGGATGGAGGGAGGGCAGAAAAGAATGGAAGCACAAGTATGAGAGGGATACGTTACCACAACACACAGCAGAGGAAAGGGAAGGAAGAGAATGAAAGAACGGACACGGACGAAAAAGAAGCGGGGTAGGGAATACCGTGCAAGCCTGGGAATGGGGAATTTCTTAACAACCTTTCTTTTTCTCTGCCTCACTCAACCTACGAGTACAGGTGTCCCCGTCGGTGACTTTTTTTTTCTTTTTTCTCTTTTTTCTTTTGAAAGCTAGAGAGCGTGAGAAATAAGTAAAATGGTTGGAAGTGGGGAGAGAGGGAATGAGAGTAAGAGGCACCACAGCACATTTGCCTGGAGGGGAGTGTAAAAAGGTCAAGGTGGAGGGGGAAGATGATGGATTAACGTGTGTGAAAGCACTACAAACAGAGAAGAAGGGAGCTTTCTCCTTTTTTCCCTCAACTCTAGTGAGCGCTACGACTGTCCCCAGGACAGCGAGGATAGCGTGAGATACCGGTAAGAGAGAAGGAGAAAAAGGATCCTGCCAGCTGCCGACCATAACAAGCATACAGACGGTAAATGCGGTAGCGTAGGGTACCAAGTATTCTAACCCTTCTAAGGAAGGTGCAGTATGAGGAAAAGAGTAGAGCGATGCATCCACCAATTCGCCGCGGTTACAGACGAATCCACAAAATTTAATGTAAAAAGAAAAGAAATCGTAAAGAGTGGTGAGGAGAAATTGAGGCGGAGGAACAGAAGGACGGTAGTCTACCGTACTCGTAGAGGCAAGTTCAGAAAAAGGGAGGGTGGGAAAATGTCGAAAAGAAAATAAGAAATACCGGTAAAAGAAAAGAAAAGAAAGCAGTTGAAGTGAAGAGTTCGGAGCAGACAGAGGAAGCTTCAAGCCCGCAGAGGGTATGGTGCCTGTTGACTAGCTTAGAATCAGCCTTCGAGACAGCCAATTCCTCCCAAACTTTCGACCAACCTCATTTGCTATTATATTACCCATTCCTTCTCCAAATAGCGCAGTGAACACATTTACGGGGGGAGATTCTATTCCTCGAGAGGTGATTTCCCGCTGGAATAACTCTTGAGGTCGAAGCAAAATTTGGGTGAGTTTCGGAGGCAGGCAACCTTGTAGAAAATCAAGTCCATTGGTTGAGCAATGTACCAATATATTGCCTAAATGAGTATGATAGTATCACTCTATCCTATGACTTGTGCCCCCATCTCTGGATGGATCCAAGGCTCGATTCTACAAGTAAGATGCTAGCATCATTCAAGTACTCGAGCGCTATAATTTACCTGCGCAGGCAGCATGGTCGACGAGAACTCGCGCGGTAGTCTACGGTAGTCTACGTTCCCGAGCACCCTACTCGTACAATACTGACACGGGTGGCAGACGTGAGTGAGAGTCGATCAGCTCCTATTTCGCTTTCTACGACATCCACACGCACCTCTTAGCTCTCACAGTTTCACTTCAAGCATCAAGCTGTACTCGTACAGTAGCCCCACCAGGCGATCCTCGCTCCATTGACGAACTCCCCCACCGCCACAAACTTCCTACTAACTTATTCCTTCCCCCCATCGAATAACGTCTCTTCCGATCAAAACCGCTAACTGTTATGGGGGAGGGGGGGGGGGGCGCTGCACCACATTACTCGAGTAAAAATATCACAGGAATCGCGCGACGTTTCATGCCATCTACCGATAATCCCAATCATATGATCCTGTTTTACTTCCGTCCAGCAAGATCCATAACTAACCATCACAACCCTTCCACCATGCCACCCACCTCCGTATGGTACGGGTACAAGCAGCAATTCAGAATGGCCACTATCGTACTCGAGTAGCCCGAGCATTTTACGCCCCCATCCACGACATGATATGCCATTCCCCATCCGATCCCATCCCATCAGACAGACATATCATAGTGCTAGTAACGGAGCCTTCTAGACTCCATGCCCTAAACCCCACCGACACCTTAATCATCAGCGACTAATTAATAGTTTGACGACAATCTTAGCATGATACACCAGATAACCTCCCGCACGCCAACACAATCACAATTGTGCCAGTACGAGTACAGTACTAGTACAGCTCTCGAGCACAGCCGCGCAATGATTCCAACACGAGAAACACCCTTTCCCCCGCGCCCTATACTACCTGTAGTATGATATATGATGCAGCACAGGCAAGAGTGCGGTACAGTACACTCGAGCACGATAGAGCTTCACGACTTGGCAAACGCGCATCCGAACAGTAAACTCACCCATTGCCACCCGTGCTCGAGCGATACCGCTATCAGCAATCAATGAAACACCCCACCAAACGAGAAACAAAGGAGCTCAGCATTCCACCTCTCACAGCACCGCCGCACTCGGACAAGCAAGTTTGCCTCACCCATATTGGCGGGTTCAGCAGCATGTGCTTCGGCGTGTCATCGTCTTAAGCTTTCGTTTATCTATTGCTTGTACTCTTCCCCGGATAGCCACTCCCCAATCGGGAACAAATTTTCTGGTATGGAAGGTGGTGCAGTGTTAGGTTAAACAAATTTTTTTTTTTTTTTCCCTTCCTTCTGGCGTGCTTCGGTCTGACCAACTGAGAATTGGGGATGAGCGTTACCTAATTGGTCGGCCACGATTTTGGCGGGGCGTTGGATAAATGAGTCTGTGCGCAGGGATTAGTTGGTCCCGTAATTGCTAGCGTTATGATAACTTACTGTAGCTTTGGCCGGTTCAGATTGGTTGGTCAGCTGTGAGTGTGGGCTCGGTTGCTGTGGTGACGCACCATACCGGTACCGTAAAATCTCTCGCATAACGGGCTGATCAATAGGGCGCTTTATTGGTTCACGGGGACTCTTGAGACAATCGTTTTGTCGCGACGAGAAGCCGACCACTCACAGCGCCGGATTTTCGCAGTGACTAAGCCTCTTTGTGTCTGTTACGTGGGAGATTTTACATGTCTCGGGTGTGTGATGTCTCCTCGCTGTACCGTATAATCTCGTCCAATCCACTATCTCCGGTAAACCTCTAATCTCCGTACCCAGAAACAAAAACCCTCAAAGAAGGATCACCGTTTTCCCCACAGGGTAAAGCCTAGGCATGCTGACTGTGTTACATCTCATTAACCGATATCTGCAATTCTGGTAACCTGTCAAACTAAACTTATCGCGGGTGGACCGGAGATTAACCCCTGCTACGGAGATATGATAGCGGGCTGCACGAGATCATACCGTACTATTCGAGTACCGTACTTAGTACCAGTATGAGACTGGTAGCTGGATTAGCGGTGGCGATGGATACGAGTGCTTTTTACAATTCTTTAAATTAAGTGTTCAGCAGCTAATTGAACCCAATTCTCCCCTGCCCCACCAATCTCAACCTGCAAAAATGTGCACGACAATACCTCAATGCTAGTAACCTCCCAGATTCCCCCCCCCCCATGAGCACTTTTTCCCTCCCCATGCCATATCCACTCGAGTACAATAACTTTATGCAGGCTTACCGGGAGGAGCTCGGACTCAATTCCTCTGTCTTGGGCCTTTCAACCCCAATTGTCGGTCCAGTCTGCGTGTCAGCAGGCTAGCAGCCGAGGTTCAACCCTTGTTCATCATACTTGAGTGCTGTGCTCGAGTACTCGAGTGCAAGACAGGGCGTTATTTGTATTGTAACCTATTATTGCAGGTTTTACAAGGGAGTGAGCAAGAGGGGGAAGAAAAAGAAAAAAAGCACGGGGCTCTCAACCGTGTTATTGGGTCCAAAGTTTCTTTTTCCTTCCTTTTTCCTTCCCTTTCCCCCTCCCCCACGGACGGCGTTCCCGAAGGAGAGGGTATGAACTTCACATGCACCATAGAGAGCTACGATACCTATGATACTCGAGTACTCGTACGGGTATGGTAACTACGTTACGCTAAGGCTTGATACGAGTAGCATGCGGTACGGTTACCGGTACGTTCACGAGCGCGGGGTGAATGAAAGTGGTTGAGCTACTCGAGTACTATACTAGTACATATATATCCTCAGGCAATAAGTACCCGGAAGCAGGATTATCAAAATGTGTGGCCACAAAATGCGTGCGTATGTGAGTGCCCGCACATATTCACGACCCCCGTCTCCGGATACTCGAGTACTCATTGCCAGAGGCGAGTACGAGTACCGGCAGGAACCTGAGATTAGTAGCGCCTCAGCCATGGGATGCATCGCAGCAGCTTCGCGGATTTGCAGTGCCTCTGGCGCAGGAGGGCAGCGGGGAAGATGGCACGGGAGTGCCGCACCGAGGGGAAACGTTTCGGAGAGCTGCATTAGCATTAGGTGCAGTACTCGAGTACTAGCACGAGTAGCAGCAAGCTACATCAAGGTCTATTCCAGCAAGAACCTTATTAACACCATCGGTACCGACTGCGGATCACCGGACTCCCGTATCATGGTCTACCTCTGGAGAAAAAGAGCAAAGTCCAACCAAGTGGAATTCGTGCACAGCTCCAACCTGCAGGTGTGGGGGACTCTCAAGACCGAAATGCCGGGTGGCCAAGTAAGCGATCAAGGTTGTATTTATCAATGCGGAATGTAGTACCGTAGTCTATGTACCGTGCTATGCGGGTGCTCGAGTGCGAAGATGGATGGGTGGGGATTGTGAATGATCACCCGCAACCGAACCAGGCGGGCGACGAACAGGGATCGGCAGCAAGTATCATAATTTATTGTTACCCTGCTTTGACGATTTCCCTCAACAGGCACGACAAACCAGGACAGGGAGGGTAACTTAAACACTTGTTGCTGTTGCTGGGGTGATGCGAAATACCTGCATCCACTCGCTCGGAACCCATCGATTCCAAGAAACCCCAACATTGCATCACGTTCCTGTGATCATTATCCGTTTCGAGTCTACAGTACCCAGCCCTCCCACCCTACCGTATTCACCCCCTCGTGAACAAAAACGCATCAAGAATGCGCACACGGCGCAGAATACGGTAGCTCCGTTAATCCGGCCCAGCCACTGCTGTCTCACTCAAGTAACGGAATCTGTCTACTCATCGCTAGTATCGACCGGGCCTGCGCCCACCGATGATATCGATGACACGGATAGGGTACTCGTACAATAAAATGATAGGTTATCATTTACTTATATCACTACTGCCCATAACTGGGCCCACTACCGGTAGTCTATCCCCATCGAGGAGGAGGGGAAGGTGAAGTTTTTTTTCCCTTCCTTTTCTTTTCCTTTCTTTTTCTTTTATCCCCGATCTCAGAAGGAGAACGGAAAAAATGCATCACGGAACTCCCCGCTGCGAAGTCGCAAACACCTGAACGGATATTTGGGATACCTGTTTTATTCTGCCCAACCCAGCCTAACCCAACGCTCCAACCCCTCCCTCCCCCCGCATCGGACCGCTTCGCCGGTGTTCCCCCCTCCCCTGCAGCCTCCTCGTTAAAAGCGGAAACAGGGGGGTATGTTTTGCGCCCTCAGATGCCCATGAATTTTTTGCTATATTTCTTTAGTCCCTGTCTTCGGTGCCTCTTCCCTGGAACGAGCACAAGAGTTCCAACCAAACATTTGATATCGAGGCCCCCCCAAGGTATCCCGTGATGTCTAGTGTATGTATGGGAACGGAAACAGAAGGCCAATAAGCAATGGTATCCGGAACGCTGGGTTTGTTCGCCGTTGAAGGGCTCACTCGCACAATAATGACATGCTTTACCGTATGATATTTCTTACACCCTCATTTTATTTTGGTTTCTAATAATGCAAAAAAGAAAATTATTCCCAGATGGTACTGTATAAGCACCAGGTGAGGTGTTTTCGTACAAGTACAAGACAGGGATTATTTTACAGGTTATTGTAACTACCGGTATCCCTGTCCTATATGAAAACCTCTCTTGGTGCTCGTACCTATCTCCTCCTGTTTGCAAGAGATACGACCAACTACCCGCGTACTGTGCTCGAGTGAGAATTCATCCCAACAACCGCACGATAGAGTACAGTGACTAGACAAAAGTCTTGGTGATTGTCCCTTTTCACACTAAAAAAGGGTAAAATCCCCACTTTTCAATAGATCTTATCTCATTGAAAACTAGATCTCATTTTGCCAAAACTCCTGATTTAAAGTAATCTTATCTGTACACTATCTCATGATCCATGTGAACCATATCCATAAGTAGCTGAAGGTTCCACATGGTTGTAAAGTTCTACCATCGCTTAAAATTCATAATTATCACCAATGTACCTACTTCACATCACCAAGACTTTTGTCTAGTCACTGTATGTAAAGTGTTTTATGCGGCACAAACCCTCCATTTCACACTACATACAGGACCATACTGTATCTTCTCATAAGGGTCCCAGTCCACCAGGAGTCTGAAATCGATATCCATCCAGAGCAGGAAACTAGCAAAACGCCCCTTGCTAGATGGAGCATGGTGGGGAAGAATCAAAGACCCTTCCCCATAGAGGGGGGGATTTTGCTGATATTGTGTTAGGGTGCGGGAAAGCAAATTTCTGGAACAACGGCTTGCCGAATATGGATACCTCACCCGGTGGACTGGGTGAGGATATTCCCCAAGGAGCGGGTATTCGGCAATCCTTAACTACTGCTGGAGAGTGTTCCTCTTACGCCGGTGACCGTACTTGGTCGCATGGTGCTGGTTTCCCCCTACGGGGCTCCGAAGATTTGTGGGATATAGTTTTCTAAGATACCGTATTCTGATGATTACTGCACTGCATCGGACTTGAAAGGCTCTTGACACTGGATGGAATCTACCGTGTCTCCATGGAAGATAATGGAAAGATTGGTAGAGTCCCGTGCGAGTGAACTGCTATCAAGGCGCTTGTCTGGCAGTCAATGAAAACTCTGGAGCCACGCTTCCCTGATGAACAAGCTTGCCAAGTACCCTTTTTTTGTCTCGTGCAGCCAATTGTATTTTCAGGTGCTGGCCCGTGATGACTGTCCGATCACTGGTTTAGACAAGAACATGAGCACCGAGATGTCGTTGTCATCGGATGACTGTCAGATTACCCATAAAATGTGATGGTACTGTGGTTCTCTGTATGGTACATGCCAACAGGCCGTCGCCTTGATCGTGCCGCGGTCAGAGCTGAAGCTAGCAGGTAAATCAATTCCCTCACTTTTTCGCATCTGGTCAACTAGGATTACTTGTGGAACTTACCTTGGAAGAGCATATCACGTACAGATACCGGTATCTTGATACGAATTTCTAACTCAAGAAAAGCAAAGGCATAGGCTACATGATAACACGAACATTTCTGATTCATCAATGCTAGAAATTTCAAGTCGTCTCCAAACGATATATGGTATAAGCACTGGGTCAAACACCAGTATTGACTCTGCTTGTCACCAATCATGCCGAGCGCTGGCTGGTCCGCGGAGATACTCGACTGCTGAGCGGCATTGGCTGATCCGGTGTGTAAGGCTCACGCTAACTGAGCCTTAAAACTAGGCCCATTGATCAAAGTTTGCGATACGATGCCAATTCGTCTCATGTCGAATCTAAAATTCCTAAGGGCTTTGACCACAGACACAATTAATAGTACAGGGAGGTGATTATGCGGCTAAACGTGTCTCCAAGCCGCAGACCAAATAAACTAGTGCAATGTTTCTGGCGGTGATTGTTCCATCTATGTTGAGTCAATGAACTTCATCACTGGAATAGCTGGCAAATTGCCCTGGGCAAGGTGAAGTGTTGCCGTGTCCCGACAGTGCGGAACCCAATGGTAAGCGACTTTGAGACTGGCAGAATCTTGCCAAGTTCCATATGTGTGTCGCAGGCCGACATCAAGAAATTTTGGTGACGAGACCTGCAGCTCTGTACAGTACAAGTACCGGCAAATGATGTCTCCACCAAGCGTCTATCCTCCGAGGCCTCTTTGCCGTTCCCCTAACTGAAGTTTTAATCCGTTACCAGTTCTAGTGATTCGGGGGCAAGGGGAAAAAACAAGGAAGGGGGAAAGAAAAAACGGTAGGACCTCCTAGAGGCTGTTTTGTGGTGGCGTGTCGAGAGATGAAGAGTGCTTACTCGAGTGCAAGGCATTTATTATTGGAAGGGGTGGTCGGTTGAAGAGGTCAGCGGATAGGATCAGTGATTCGTGGGACGGGTGCGGTAAGTTCTGGGTGGGCGGGATTAGACTAACGATCAGAAAGATCCGATCCGTCATGAATCGCGTGGTCCTGTCTGCATTCAGCCACTGCCCGTCAGTGTCTGACGCCTGAAATTTTAAACGACCCCTAACCCTGGAAATGGTTGGGCGAGTTCGCGAAATGGTGCTCCGCCATGATACTCGTACCGGTACCGTAGGTTCTGAGCAAACTCGACCCGTCACTATATTTCTCAAGGTAGCCACTATCCCTCTTAAGGACTAACTCCATGGCGGTTTCGCCTTTCTGGGGATAGTAACTACCATACAGGGAATTGCCGTGGGTCGAATTTACATGTACCCAGAACCTAGGGTACTCGAGCACAATTGCTTCTGATATGGTTAGACGGCGTTGGTGTGCCTGGGAGGAGGGCATCGCATGGAAAGATAACCGATGCCCCCAAGTACTCGAGTATTCCCGAGGTACGCACATCAGAGGGATCATGTGGCCTTTGGAGTCATTCTAAACTTCGCCCCCCCAAGAGCATTGTTGGAAGGTTTTGCATGTTCGGATCAACAGCGCTGAGTGCGAGTTAGACTATGGAATTCTCCTTCCAACTGCATGATTTTGCACCAGCCCAATATGGGCATTTCGCCTACCTTATCATTTCCTACTCATCGGATTCTGCGGTTGAAGAGCATTCCCTCCCCTCCTCCAGTGGATGGGTTTAACGCATAAACAACTCATGTCGACCAAGAGCATTGGAGATGGCGTCTTTCCGTCTGCCCATCGATATCGACACCGGTGATCTTCTATTGGCCTGCTGTGGCTCGGTTGGGCGATATGATAGCGAAGCACCATGAATCTTGGTACTGACTTAGACTACTGTGCAGACATTTTGACGATGCATTTCTGGACCTCCTAGAGAAAGAGAGGGGAGGGCCCGAAGGAATACAGGTTAATTATCCGTGTGGCCTTCCCCGATAGCTTTGGATAGCTGGTTCACGAGTATTATGATAGGAAAATGTTCACTTTGACCTCTTAAATCTATCCACGAATACCAGTGCTAGGAGTCTACCTGCACTACGCACACCTTTCGACCCGACTAATGAGTGTGAATACGGCAAACCGGTCTTCGAGTACTCGTACAGCACATCACTTCCCGTTACCGTCTCATACGGGGGCACAAGGAATGCCGGCGGGTGACGAACAGGGATCGGAAACAAGTATTTTTTTGTTATTAATATGATACCCTTTGGCGAATCCACTTTTTTTTTCCTGCTCGATACAAGTACGGGTATCATACTCCTGTTCCCTCTGTTTTGCTTAGTAATGCATCTAAAAAAAAAACTATGATAGTGCCCTGGCGTAAATTTGTATACCGGTATATCATTATCATACCTCCCCCCGCGCAAAAACGCCCACCCTACCCCCCCCAGCCCTCAACCAATACTTCATTAGAGTCGACAGAGTTGAAGGAGCTGATTCTCAGTGGTTCTATCGAGTACGTTTCTCGAGGGACTTTGTTGCGGAGTGTTCGTTGTTGATTTTCGCTCAGGGGAGGGTGGATTCCAAATGCTCTGCACCATGTTCCTCGTGCCCCCCGGATGAGACTGCTGTGCGACCCACTCGCACTTGATTTGACCAATCATGCCATACCGGCAAAGACTAAACAACAAAAGCATGCATACTGTACGAGTACTTGGACAGTACGAGTACTGGTACCGGTATTCCACCCTAGATTTAGCGACGGGATAGCCTGTAGTCATCCACTATTGTTCATTCTTTGACTTGCCCCTTACAAACTCATCGGATTACTGTAAGCTTCGCAGATGGTGAGTTGAAGTGGAGGGCGGGGGGGAAAGGGATGCTCTTCCAACCCGCTGCCCAACCTACCATCATCTCGCACTGCTCCTCTTCGCCTCCTCTTCGAATCGTTTAGAGGAAAATATTTGTGCCTAGCGTAGCTCGTGTTTCAAACTCCTACTTTTCACTCACCCGTAATTGGACCTGAGAAACTTCCCTCCGTTGCTCTACGGTAGTACTTGTGCGAGCGGTGAGCGTCTCCATCCTTTCCGTCATCGCCCACGCTTCACGGTCTGCCATTGTGCATCGCCGGTGTCACGTATGCACTAAAAATCTTTAGTCAAATCGGTGAATCAGGTGATACTGCAAGCCCATACCGGTAAACTACTCCTCCAGATCCATCCGCCGTACAGTATCTAGGATACTCGAGCGCAGCTTGCTCTGCGTGCTCTTGATAGCGAGCGAGCCGCTGTTGTCATTTCTGTTTTTTTATTTTATTTTGGGGGGAGAAAAGTCTACCGTGCGTGCCCCCCCGGCTTTGTTTCTTCAACTGATCTGAGCAAATTTCACGGGTGGAGGGGCTGAAATTTTACATTTGGGTGAGGTCACATCCAGGACCCGACCGTAACCGTGCCCATCTTACTGGTTCTTTCTATTTTTTTCTTTTTTCCTCCCTCTTTGCTTGTTGTGGGGGGGGGTGTGAGATTTTAGATAACTGGATTGGGTGCTCCGGGATACGGAGAGAGATTCTAGGAGCTACATACCACGAGTCAAATCTCAGGGTTTTTGAGAAACGAAGCCTCAATAAACTATGGCGAACCAGCGCGAGAAGAAGCTAAAGCGGGAGCGGGGCTACACGCCTCCACTGTCGCCATCTCTGCACTCCAGTGGACGCGAGGACACCAGTGACCGCAGGCGGACATCCACATCGCCGCCCCCCATTCCCCGGCATCCCGTACTGAGCATGCAAACCGCCTTTGAGGAATCGATTCGTGATGTCCGTGTCGGAACGCAGGGAGAGGAAGCTGGGGGTTCATCGCCGAGAAGCAGGAAACGTCAGCAAAGGAATAAGGAGTGCGAGCATCATCGGTTATCGAAGGTTGTTTCACAAATCGCTTTTGGTATTCATCTTTTACATGGCCGCCTAGCGAAATCCGACTCGGAAGTCGTAAGGATTTTGCAATCCCATGTGAACGATATGGATGGATTCATCTCGAAAACTACAAGGGATTTTGACCTAGCGAAATCGGATATATCGCAACGGTTGAAACATCTTAGGGTTCCATTAGATTCGGAAGCTGCGTCGATGGCATTCGACAATATGCTTGAAAGTCGGGAGTTTAGGTTGCAGATATTGGAGGGCAATGAGAATGTGGAGTATGTGGTTGAGCGCACAATGGCTGCTATGGGGAAGGCATTGAAGGATGTGGCTGAGGGGCTAGCTGCGGTGGATGATTTGGCTAAATATCTGCTGGGGCTGGAGGAGGGGTGGAAGGGTTCGAATTTGGTTAGGGTTTATGCCGCCATGACCTTCAATGTTGAGCAGTGGTTCAGAGGTCTCGTGGCATTGCAGACGAAATCGGTAGGCTTGAAGGAGGAGTTAGTGCAGCTGAAGGGTGTACTGGGGGAGATTGAAAGGAGGACTGGGATTGCAAGCAGGAAGAATAAGGTATGTGATTTCCATGATATCGGGACGGATGATGACTAAATTTTCATGATATCTAGGGATCTCTAGCTGTGGTCTCTCAAGTTACAAAAAAAAAGGTAGTTGGTATTGGTTGAGTGACATCTGAAATTGAATAACTAATAATCATCTAGTCTTCGTCTCGATTAAACAAGTCTCTCCCGCCCACGCCTGCCCCTGACACATTGTTGAATGCCATCGATGTTCGCATTAGCAACTCGCACAAAGATTCAAAACGCCTCACCCGCTCAACCTCCCAGACCCTCGGGCCCACTCGATCTCATTCACAGCGCCTCCCCCACCGCCACTCATTCCTCTCGACATCCCTCTCAACGACAGACACTAGCACTGGAGCTCCATTTTCCGCAGGAGAATACGAGTCCGAGAAGGAGGAGGACAAACGGAAGAGCAGCAGAGTCAGGGTGAGACCCGTTCCGGAGCTATGGCCCGAACCATTATCCCAGCGCAGCGGGCCCGGGGATGAGCAGGATGATGGCCAAGGAGACAGCGACGACTTCGTCTTCCGGCCAGATAACGAAGAGAAAAAAGACAAGGATTTCGCCTTTAGACCTAGTAAAGATGAGCGGAAGGAAAAGTTAGGGAAGAAGGAGAAGCGCGATTCAGTGCTCTTTACTAGACAGGACAGTTGCGCCATTATGTGATTTCTTTTCATTCTGATTTTATACCTTAGCGTTCCTGTCAGATCAAATTGCGTTCCTCAACGGGCTTCCTTTCCTCATCTTCGTTCTTTTTGGGCATATATTTTTCCCTTTGGGTTGTGACCTTTCTGCTGCTGCTTGACTTCCGCATGCCTAAGTGCATTGCTTCATATGTCTACTCGTACACACATCTGGCGTCCCGGAATTTCCTATATAAAACCTTACAGCCTTGTAACCAGCACTACCGCACCCTCCTTTACAGTCTCTCTTTGTGTAATCCCCTAGACGGCATTCTTAACTTCTCTTCGCTTTACATTTGGCGGGCGGCGGTGCAGGGGCGTTTTTTCAGGATTGTACTCGAGTATGATTTTATGTATTCATTCAAAAACCCCACACCATCTATATTATTCACCTTCATCAGATTTCCCCCCCCCCCTCCGTGAGTTCATGCATCTAGTGTGTCCCGGGCCCTGCATATTTCGTGCTGTCATACCAACCCGCCGGAATATTGTGCACATTTTCGGTGAACTTCCAAGGTTCTTCCAAGGGCGCTCAACGAATACGATGGCGGTAGCAGCCGGGCTGCATGTCTGCTTACATGTGTGAGAGCGAAAGGTAGTACGTCACCGGTCTGGCAGGTGGCGGGCATTCTACTCGTACAGTAAAAGAATAGATCTGTGCCCCAGGGATGGGTATCCTTGCTGGTTGGTTGGTTGGTTGGTTGGTTGGTTGGTTGGCTGGGACAAGTTATGGCACGTGGGTGGGAGGTAAGGAGGGAGGTGGGACCCCGCATCTGGGTGGGGTCTCGGCGGGATTGTGAGGAAGAGTATCGCTGGGGTGGGTGCTAAGGTATGATGATATCGGGACAAAACACTGAGCCGATGGGCGTTTTTTTTTTTTCATCACCAAAACCGAAGCTCTCTGGGGCTATCTGTCCCCCCGTGTGAAGTGAGATAGCCCCCCTCCCGTGCTCTTTAGTCGTCCTTTTGCGGAATTTGCGTCGCAGTGGGGGCGAGTCATGTGAGGTCACTCGAACTGGTTCTTGAGGAAAGTGGGGTGTGATGGACCCTTGTTTGTGGGGGGGGGGCTTCTCCGTGGAGAATGTTAGTGGTGTAGCTTTTACGTATGGGCGAGCTTAGGATGGTGACGATGCGAGTGGTTATTGTCTGTTCCGTGGCGGCTTGAGCGCGGAATTCTGGGGCTCTGACGTTTGGATAGGCATAGAGGGTAGGGTGCGTTGATTATCAGGACCCGAATTAAACGTTTTGTGAGGGAATTGGATAGGTCGTTACTGAATCCAACTTCTCCATCCATCGTATGTTACGGAACGCCGGGTGTTCTACTGGCTGATTCTTCCGGGCGGCCGAGTGACATGTTGTGATTGTGTGTGAATCAAATTGATGTCTGTTCAGGTCTTTCGAGTGATCGTCCCATACGAGGGGAAGTGATGGGCGTACGGTTTACAAACACCTTACTCAAGAACTAGTGACACAGAACTTTGAATTCGGGCCCGGTGCCCTGAACGGGTCTATCGTGAGTCGTGAATATCGCATCATACTACTGTATCATACTCTATTGATTATTAGCGACGGGAGCCCAGTAGCCTTCGGCGGTAATACCTGTAATCCTTAACCACCCCCCCCCCCCTCCTCCAAATCACGTCTTTCTCACAGCCAAAACCTATGATACTTTTTTTCATCGCTGATATTCCGAGCATGAATATTCTAGACTTGAGGGATTTTTGTCGTTGGATATCTGTGATCGGAGATTATATTTATATTCTCTCCTTCCCCTGGGGACGTCTTTGCTCGATGATGCGTTTATAATAATCATAGCATTCAAACCCTAGTGAAAATCCAATTGTAATCGCAGCCAGTCCAAGTATCATATCTATTCCTGTAGCAATTTTCCGTGAAATGCTTAAGCTGGCGTAACCGGTAGAGAGGTGTCCGAGAACATGTCGGTAGCCCCTGTGCGGTTAGTGGGAGCCCATGAGGTCGATCCCCTTCAAAACGGGCTTTCGTAATTATCACTATATTGGATAATCCGTCGCTCAGGGTGGGAGAATTAGGATGTCCTGTCCCATGGGGACAGCGAGACTGAAGCCCTTATCCTTCCTGAATAGGCCTGCAGCGCAAATCGGACCTGCTGTCATTATCGTATCGTACGAGGAGGTGTGGTGGAATTCGACTCCGGGTCGTGCCCTCGCTATTCCTTCGTTCGTGCCCGGGTATCTGAAACGATATCATATCATACCCTGAACATAATAATTTTCTGGGCTGTCCACTCGAGTATGGTACAGTGATACGCTTGCTGCCGAGGTACCCTGATTTGTCTCTTTTATGATACCTTTTTCTTAAGACGACACTGGTTACTCCGTAGACTGGAAAGGCTTTTCTAACTTTGAACTGCTGAGAAGCGATCACACCTATTTTCCCAAAACTGCGTCCATATAAAACCATATAAAATGTAGGTTTTCTCTTTTCCAATTACAAAGGGCCCAGGCCCTCACCCCCGTAGAAAGTCCATGGGATCAGCCAACTTGATCCATCATTGAATTTAATGGCTTGGCAGAATATACCTTTTGATTACGTGTTCCTGAGTCCATAAATGAGTTGTCATATCATTTCCCCCCCTCCGGTATTATTCAACCCCGCTTTGGATCTGGCGTTCTTGGTGGGTGTTTGGCACAGGGGTTTCTTCGTCATTCTGCCGGCACAATTCCTGTCTTTAGAATACCCTCAACAACTGGCGGCGGTGGAAGAAGACCATTCCTTCACCTCGACTTATTGCGAAGCCGTCAAGTGGGTTATCGATGTAACAAATCTCAAATTATATAATTATCATAGTTCGGCTCAGACTGAATCGCGACCTTGGGTCGGTCTTGCGTATTTGCAAGGGGGTGTTTCAGGAACTCCTTCACTTGCTCGGTGTGTTTTTTCTTCCTTTTCCATGAGCTGATTTGTTCTTTTGTTTAGTGCTTGGTGCGGGTGGGTTTGATCTGGCGGGTCCTAGGTGGGCCTCGTACTGCTGTTTATAGCAATGGCATGAGGGTGGAAAAACATTGCACCCGAGTGCTACTCAGTGCTGGGGCGTTGGACGGCGATTAAATTATTGCTGATGTAAACGATAAACCACGAGAGAACTAGAGCAAGCCTATTAAAGCAACAGGTTCAACACGATTCAAAACCAAATGTGTCATATCATAACACCGCAAGCAAGCCATACCCCCCCCCCCCCGAACTCAGGTAACCCTCGACTCCGCTGCCGCTTCGATTCCGCAGCCAAGTACTCGAGTACAATCCACGGAAACGCCAATCCCACCACTGCAGTACTGTGACGTACCCAACTTCAAAACCATAGACATCACTGGCGCCCCTCCCTCCCACACCACCAGCATATACCGGTTCCCCCCCCATCCGGTTTCTGTACCTCCACCCCCTCCCCCGAACAAGGGCACGTGCAGCTACAACTACAAGCGCGAGTCATGTCCAGGTGTGCCTCAAGAAGTAAAATAATAACCAGGGAAATCACGAAGTGGTAGCAAATGAGTTTTTCGACGTCGTGGGAGTCGAGGAGCCAGAACATGCCGCGAGGTGGAGCTTTGTCTAGGCGTGGTGGACCGGGAATTGGCTCCTCTCTGGGTGAACCCGGGAGGTGATGGGGGAGGAGTTGGGTGTGAGTGGAGCGTTTTGATTTCGGGTTTGGGTGAGTCTTCGTATGTGTCCGGATAAATGTGGGAAGGGGATTTGCCTGGCGCCGCTATCTGGGCAAGTGTTGGTGACGAAAGTTTGGTTTAACGTGCAGCCGGCAAAAAACTCCGATCGGGGGCTTTGCAAGAAATTTGGTGGTGTCAAAGGGCCTCAATAACTTTCTCCTGTCCCGCGAGTGGTGCTGGGAGTGTGTTGTGAGGATGGAGGAGGGGCGTTCCAGTCGGTTCCTGGAGCGAGGTTATGACATTACCCTTCTATCCTCAGGCGGCGAAGAGCAGGGTGGATGAATCATTGCTCATTGGGGGCCTACTTCATAGAGTAGATGTACGGTGTATGATTCTTTGGATACAGAAACTTTAAGGCTGCGAAACGACACAGCATCACAGATGGTCACTCGATATTGGAAATCTGGTGGCCTGATTCGAGGCTTCCCCTCGCTACGACACCAGGAATTTAGGACTTTCTTTCCAAGCGCCTGTAGTCTACCATACGGTGAGAGGGACGTATCGTACCTTCTGCGAATAACACTAGGGAGTGTTTGGCGAGCAAAGATTTGATTTTGAATTCGTCTTGGCATTTTTACATCAATTAATCTCTATTATAATCTGAATCCTGCATCATTTTACCTGTTTTTAGATATTTCAGAGCCGCCAAGACTATATAGATGTCAAAATCCTGAAAACATAATTTTGAATGGTGTGTCAAAGCATTTCTAAGATGTCGGCCAGCTGCAGCAAGGCTCCGGAGCCCCGCCTGAAGAAGAGGGGACTACCCTTCTATAAAACCATAAGCCTTCACAACTCCTTCCCTTCCTTCATCCTCCACCTCCAGCTTTCGCCTCACTGCATTTAGATGTTATAGCTCTCATTTAGAAGCCATTCCACTCCTTCCACTCCGTGCCACCGCCGCCTCAATCAAAAATGACAGAGTTTACGCCAAAACAGGTTTATCCCAACCAGTGCGTTTGCCCCACCGGCGATCAATTCATCGACTGGGTCCGCCAGGAGGTCAACTCATTCGGCGGGGGCAGCACATATCTGGATCTCGACCTATTCGGCGTGGCGGAAGACATCCTCTCCGGCTCCGCCGTCGAGAGAAACATCGTAGCATTCAACGCCGTCATCTCTTGGCGCGTGAAAGTACAGGAGGAGATTATGGCTCTGGCGAACGAGCTAGTCGAGCGGGAAATAATCCCCGAATCTGCCGTGCATTCCCCGATACAGTTGTTGCCGATTTCCCAGGAGGCGTATCAGAATCGGATGACCTTGGTTAAGCTTGTTCCCGAGTTACTGGAGAGGTTTGAAATCCCTGAATCAAAGGACGAGTTACAAATCAAATTCAATGCGCCGCTGTATTGGTTTGCGATTGTCTTGTCCAGGGCGAGGCGCGAGGCCCCGTTCAAGTGCGAGTTGAAGAAGGTGATGGGAGCCCTTGTAGATCTCGGGATAGCGAAAGTGCCGGAGGGATGGGAGAAAGATGAGTGGATTTCAAAGATGACGGTGGATACAGAGTTGAAGGAGGAGACGCTGTACCTCGGTGAGGACGAGATCACTAAACGCTTGACAAAGCTGAAACCATACCTTGGGTGGAGGTTGCCGCCGTACAACGTTTTCAAAGCCGCTGAGAATACCAAGGCGGAGGCGGATTCGGAGGCTGTGGTGGTTGTGACAAAAGACCTGGACGGCGGTGAGGAGCCTGCGGATCTGGCGGTGGGGTTTGCTGATATTGAGGATGTATCAGAGGGGGCGGGAGGAGGAGCGGGAGAAGGAGCGGGAGAAGGGGCGGGAGGAGGAACGGGAACAAGAGGTATACTGCGAGATATCGTGCTAGTTATTACCCTGAGCGTTCTCTACATCATGCTTAGCGGGGTTGAGATGCCGTTGGCTTTCCGGCAGGGAATCGAGAGGATGGCGGGCAGGGTGCGGTATTGGACAGACTCAATTGGGGAGGAGATATTGATGTTGGCATCGTCACCAGAGTAGATGCGTTTCTCATTCCATTCCCAATTCTATTGTATGCTGTTTTTCATGTTTGGGGTGTTGGTGTGGATTCATATGTGTAGAGTTTGGCATTAATCCGATCCTTTTTAATTTTTGAGGTGCGCTATTAGGCATGTTGTCTCTGGAGGCGCCGCTAGCGATAAAATCATACCGTTATTACCCCACCCGCTCGTGGAATCGTAGCATCAGTATGCTGTTCTGAAGGAGTGTAACACATGAAAAGATATTGAAAATCGCCTGGGAATATCATAGGTTGGAAAGCTTTCGATATCGTTCACTCCCCCTATCAGTCAGTCGATCTCTGGCAGATTCAGCTACCCTACCCCAGCAAAACCAAGTTATATAAAGCTACGAAGATATGATACCGTACTGGCACACTGATAAGTAAGGTTAATTTGTGTTCACACCCTATCACTCTCTTAAGCCAACCTGTTCCGGCATGACCCGCCCTCATCGTGCTCGAGGTCCTGATGCCGTCGGCGGGTTGGATGAAGTCTTTGTTGACTTGACCATCCATCCTCACGAGCTTGTGTAGAACGAGCCTGCAAGTCAGGTAATCCAGGACCGAGAATCCCCTAGACACCGCTATATGATACCCCCTCGGAAATGTTGCCGACGGCCACCGGCCAAAACGTTCATGTTTCTCCACCCTACGTCCTTCTTCAGGGTTACTACGTGCCCGCAGAGAGGGAGGGGCAGGTGAGGTGAGGGGGAAACAAGGATTCAATGCCTAATTTCTGGTATCATACCAACTAGTCTCTGGTTCCTCCTCCACCGCCCCCCTCTGAGGGCATGTGGTATTATTATTATACCGTTGGGCCATTCTGTCATAGCTCCCATATTCGCTAGATTGGGGGCGGGGGGGGGGCAATGTAAAATGGATAGAATAGGCTGGGGTATTGTAAGGAGGGTGGGGATCAGGAGTTCCGGGAGCATTGTCTGGCGGGGATAAATGGGTTAAAGTGAGGCCTTTTCGGATGAGATTTCTCGGCTAGTGGGCCGGAGGAGGTGACAAGCAAGAAAAATTATAGACATTGGCCACCGATAATCAATTACAAGATTTCTAAGTGTTCAGAGAAACAACAGTATCCGGTATATTAGTAATAGGAAAATATGCTGTGCAAGACGGGACCTAGAAGCAGGTCGCGGATAACACATCTACGGCCAAAGGCGCTTAGGTAGCTTGAAATAATAATAAATGTACAACAGAGGAGTGCCACACTATTCACGACTTACAATAACCCTGTTCGGGGTATTGTGCCCGGCCTTACAGTCAGACATCACGAGTCTCATAACCATGCAAGGAAGAAATCTTGTGAGGGACCAAGGATCGAGTGATGTCCTGTGAATGTACAAGTGAGTTACGGGAAGGGATTGATCTTGAGGTTTGCGTGGTTTTCGTGGCCTATCTCAAAATGATTGAGCCTGCAGTTATTGGATCTGGCTGAGGTGTATCAGGAACTCTGACTGGGGGTCCGGAGGAGAAACGGGCGCCGGTGTGGCCGGTAGGTATCCAAAATAGTGGCTTGATAGGTTGAAGCCCAATCCCGTTTAGTGCAGGATCTCGAGCTTGTGGAAGTAGGAAAACGTAGAAATCACAAACGCCCATGCTTAAGAATCCGAGGACATAATAGTGTATATACAACGCAAGTCTATCCCACATAGTCAACCCAAACCACCGCTACTTGCACCCAATCACCGTTTTCCCTTCTTTTTATCCTTCTTTTCCTTTTTCTCCTTTTTCTCCACAGCACCCCCACCCGGCCCGCCAGCATCCATGCCCATGTCCTTCATCATCTCCTTAAATATATCATCACTCACGCCCCCGCCACTCAAGGCTGCTGAATGGGTCGGCAAAATCGTGCCCACCTTCCACCCCCTGGGAACAGCAGGAGGCTCCGGCAGCTTCCCGTCAGTTGGGAAATTCGGAATCCTAAGCCTCAAGGGATCCTCGGGTCTCGTTGGGTTCGCCTTCAGAAACTCTCCGATGGTCCTAAGCAGCAAGAACTTGTTCTTGATGTTCCCAGTTGGTTTCCCATCCGCTTTAAACAGTACCCTTACACGGCCCGGGTTTGCCCAGTCTTTTGGATGTGTCTTTCCGGGTTCGAATACGGTCTTTAGAGACAGGTATGCACATGCATCGACGATGTTGCGGGCGAGTGGATTGGGAATTGCGTGGGTTTTATTTACACGGCGGCCTTCGGCGCGGGACCGGGTGCTATCGAAGTATATAGGGTAGAGGCATTGGTAGGTCTTATAGGAGCTCTCGTCCGTAGAGACATATTGGGTTTGGGGGTGGCTGGGTCTTTGTATTCCATGGGGGATTGCGGTCGGATCCATTAGAGTTGGGTTCGCGGCTGCAGCTGCACGGGGGTCAAAGAGGGAGATGTCCATTTCTTCGGGGTCGGAGTCTTCGACTTCTTCGATTCGGACATTTCGTGACATTTCTTTTCGTGTGCGGTTTTGAGCTGACTTGGTTTGGGAGGGTGAGGATGGAGTTTCTGGTAACCGTGGATGAAAGATTGTGGGGGGTAGAAGAGACTCTGGCGGATGGGGTAACATACGATAGTCTGAATAAAGCTTGGCGTGCTTTCACCGGCGGATCTGATGGTCAATTAGGGACATCATTTTCAACTTGGAAAGCTTCCACTAAATTTATCCTACAAACTATCATACGACGAAATACTATTCCACACTACCACCGAGTCACTGAAAAGCAAACCATCATGAACGCCGAGGAAAAGGACCTCCAGATAAACCCCGTTGTCCCCGAAAATGTCATTCACAACACGAAGGTTTGCCTATCTTCCCCTTTTCACCTTCGCTTTCTGAGCTTCCTTTACTAACTAAGCTCCCACCAGACAATCGCTGACATCCGCTCCCTCACCTCCTCCATATTCGGCATCGCTGCCGGTATCCTAGGCTTAGAATCCTACTCAGGCTTCATCTTCTACCTCCTCGGCTCCTCCATCGTCTCGGTACTGATGGTAGTCTTCATCGCGGGCGGGAAGCCACAAAACTACTTCCGGAGTGCGAGTGAGATATGGACATCAGAAGTGTTCAGCGGGAGTAGCCTTTCGTCGTTCATTTTGACTTGGACACTCTTTTTCGGACTGTTACGAGCTTAGAGGAAGGAAAATGAATCTGGAAATAGAAAAGGGGATAGAATGGCATTGAAGGTTTCCTTTCCGAATGCTTATTTGGGGAACTGGCGTCGTGACGGATTGCTAAAGGTTGGGAGATTGTAATTCTACTACGATACTTTTTCCTTAGGTGATTTTTACCTGCTTTGGGGGGGGGGATAAGGGTGTACGCTCAATACCATGTAGTGCTTTCGGTTTTTAACAATGCAATGCTGTCAGAAAAGCTGGCCTTGCAGCGGTTTGAATTCTTACGATACAACTGGTTATCAGTATCAAGGTATTGAATTGCACTTTCATGATACCACAATATTATTATTTAAGCGCTCTCATAAATCTCTGCGCCTTGCACCAAGCTCTGAAAGGACATCATTTTCTTATCTCACCATGAAGTCAGAGGGTTGCATATGACACCTGTAAAATCGCTCAAGGGACCTTGGCAATCCAGATGAGATTGATAAGATCTGATAAGATACCTTTCCTCTAATCGATCAACACTCGGGCGGGCCCCAAACTCCAACTCACCCGCAACCAGCACACCAAACCCAACACTTTTTTTCCAGTTCCACCTTAGAATCGTACAAATACCCTCTAAGCCATCAAACCATGTCCGCAGCCTCTCCGCTCGCCACTACTACCGCCCCAATAAAGGTTGACCGTCGGCGCACGACCCCCTTCCTGCTTAAGCTCTTCTACAGACAGGGCGGCTTCCACCGGTTTGATTATCCCCCAATCTTCCCTCTCCCAAACACAATCCAGCTAACCGGAGGGGGGAAAAAATGCTATAAAACAGCCTAGATGACTTCCGTGCACACTCCCAGCCCCGCGAGCATGTTACAATTTACACCTGGCGCGATTGCACCCTCAACGAACTAAGCATGCTCCTCTCGCATGCGCTGCCAAACGTCTGTCCGCCCCGTTCCCGCTGCGGCTTCCGTCTCATCTTTGCGGACACGCGGTACAACGCGACGCGCTACACATCAAAGGACCTGGGCGCAGTGGTGCCGAACGGCGACGCGGTTTTGGATAATGTTGGTCGAAAAACGCTCAGCGAGGTCTCGTTTGTCGTAGGGGATTGGATCGACGTATGTATTTACCCCGAGGGCCATGGCGGGGTTGGAGCTACGGGGAATGGCAGGGGCGGGTTTGGAGGCGGAAGGGGCGGGGTCTTAGGTGGGCCGCGGGAGAATGGATTTGGTGGGTTTAGGGTCCGTGGAGGTGCGCGTGGGGCTGTCATGGGGGGGGTTAGTGTTCCGAGTGGCGAGTGGAGGAGGGGTGAGAGGGTTGAGGATAATGTTCCATTGCAGGAAGGGGGCGGCGGTGGTGGTGGCGGGAGGAGGGACACTGTTACCGTGGGTAGAGGTAGTGGCGGGTACGGTAGACGTGGCGGCGGAGGGGGAGGAGGTAGAGATCGCAGGTATAGGGATTAGTCAACGAAGGCACTATCACAAGTGGCCCCGGCTTGGTCGAGGCCACTGTATTTCTAAGGGATGCTTTCCCTCCCCCTCCTCACCTATCCTCCTTCTCTTTTCTAACCGTTTTATTGTAAAGTAGAGCCATAGCTACTGGGTTGGGTTGCGGTGCCTTTTTTTCCTATATATCTTTCTTTCTTACGTCTCGAAATTGAGCTTTTGGGGTGGACTTGTTTATCGCCTTCTGCTGGTATGATATTGTACGTTATCCTTCTGTCATAGGGACTCAGCACGTAGCTCTAGATATTTAACGATAGCTACCGTACTGTACAAGTAGAATCCCCAAGATTACAATCCAGCATCCCGAGAATGTGAGAGGGAATCCTACGAGTATAGTCTCCCGTGGTCCGGTACCGTGCCCACATTCCTACTATACAAGCCATCAGTGGGATTCTGATTCCAATATCAGAATTTACTAATAGCCTCACTGCAAATCCTATTAGCACTGTAGAATCAATAATTATAGTAATTATATCCCTCATCCCTCATACATCCCAACCTAAAGTTTCAACCCGCCCAACTACCACTACAGGTATGTTATAAACGCTTCCTCCCAGCCATAACCGCATACCTCCGAGGAAAACCATCACAACACAACATAATATCATACAATCAAACCCAACAAAGGGCAAAGTTTCTCTTCCCCATTACCTAATCCCCACGCGTAACGTAACTCACGTGCTCCGCCAAGCCACTGCGCGTCAACCAAAGTCTTCCTCCCCTTCCCCACCACTCACTAACAAAACACCAAGAATCCAGATCTCCCCCGTCCAACAAAGACACTAAACCCTCACCCGGAGAACCAAAAGAACACATCCACATCCACAGAATACCAAAACACAATCCATACTATAAACAAGAACTCGAGAATGACCCTCTACGGCTGCTCCCGGGAAGTCTACCACCCTCTAAGCTCCCGCGCAGAGCCCACCGCAATCCTATTCTACGAATCCAGTGACGACGACGATGAGGACCTGGTCGGCTTGGTCGGGAATAAGACCCCACCAGCAGTTTCCCCGAAGTCGTCGCCGAAGAAAACAGTTAGTGGCACCGGCACTGCTGCTCCACTGGTTGTGGAGATGAACGGGAATGCGCAGGTGCAGGAGGGGGGGGAAGTGACAACGTCCGGGAATGGTAATAAGAAGGAATTGGGGGGTGGATTGGCTGCGGCGCCGAGCATTGGTAGGAAGCGAATTGGTATGGGACTAGGAGGGCTTGGAACGGTGGTTAGGCCTGAGAATACGTTTGGGGATCGGAGTCCTTTTCGGAAGGGTAAGGGTAAGGAGAGGGGGAGTGATGTTCGGGGTGGGGGGCAGAAGGAGGGTGCGGGGAACGTGGACGATGAGGAAGAGGAAGAGGAGGTGGAGAGGAAGGTGAGAATTCCTGGGAGTTTTGATTTTGATGATTAGACGGGTGGGGGATGCGATGATATAATGAGAGTTAATTGCTTGTTGTACTGTACTGTACCGTAGATCTTGGTGTTGGAGTTTTTTAATTTTTTTCTCGTGGGCTTTGGGTTGGGAGGTTTGGTGCCAGCGTACGGCGATGTCGTGCTGTATGATATGATATGATGAGTACTGTTTTAAGGATTCACGGCGGTCAAAAAAAAGAATATATATCATTAGCGGTTCGTTGGGGCCGAAGTTGAAAAAATGGGGAAACAAGACAAAGAAAAGGTTGTCTAGGACCGGGCTTAACCTATCGTGTCCTAACTATTAATACAATTCACCCCTACTATAGCCCTCTCCCCTATCTCTCCACCTCCATCCTAAACCTCCGTCAAGTGAGTAACAAGCCCGGACAATATCGCGATCCTCATGTCATTGCCCTCAGCATCAGTATCCATCCCCCCTTCCTCGACCTCCACAGGCGCCGGCTTCAAAAGCCCACTCTCATCCAGCAACCACCCCCTCTGTGCGATGTACTCCAGCAACCCGGTTTCGTCGCCCTTAAAGCCCAAGTAAACGGCTGCGTGAACGGGAGAAATGCTCGAGTATGCCTTCGACAACAGCAACACCGTCTTCTGTCGATAATAGTCCTTGAAGCGGACGACGAGAGGGCTGACGTGCTCGGACCAGGGAGCGGAATCGATGACGGTGTAGATCTCAGCGTAGTTCCTGGTGTAGAGAAAGCGAAGGAGTGTGTATGTGCTAATCAGCAGTGGGTCGGATTGGAGCGCTGGCATGGGGATACGCTTGCTGAGGAAGCGTGCTTCATTTCTGATTATGGGGAGCTTTTTGTTAGCTTTTGTTAGCGGTGGGGAAGTGGGGAGGGGTTACAAGTCATCGCAAAGGAAAAGGGCGAAGAAGTAGATGCCGTAAAAGTTTGATAGAAGGATGGCAGAGTCTGATGAGAAGGGAGTCAAAGCTGCTTCTGTTTCTAGATCTGCGAGTATCTCAACAATGGTTGAGGGTGCCTCAGAGGATGCGAGGATAGAGATGTAGGCTAGGGAGAACTTTTGAGCATCCTTTTCCGCAGACATGGTTCTGGATGGCTTTTGTTAAGTGCGGGTGGAGGAAGTTGTCTGCTGGGCTTGAAGGAAACCTATGATGGAGCTCGGTTTGTTGCTCGACTTTGTTTCTATAATACGGTATTATGGTTATGGTAGGGGGAGATTGTTGTAGGACCCTCCTGCCCAACTGTCGACAAGCTTAGTGGGGCAGCAAGCAAGAGGCAAGAGAACCCAGGAACTAGTTACTTACAGCCAACGAGTGTGGGTTGAGGCTCCCTTGGCACACCACGTGATACAGAGGACACTTTCTCATGACAGTGTGTACACTAGGAGACAGCGTACTCGCCATACCGGCGCATTCGAAGAGGCCAACTTACAACGGGGGCCCAAAAGTTCCCAGATACCGTAGTCAAGCACGGCTCGCTAGGCAATTCCACGAATAACAAGCGACAAATCCTCCCCTTTCAACTCCACCACTTTTCCTCAACCATGTCGTCCATTGAGGCACTCCTCAAGGACGAGTCTACAAGAAATATCCGTAGACTGCTGAAGGCTGTTATTCTCCTTACTATTGCTGGTGCTGCCGTTTCGAGTCGGTTGTTTTCTGTTATACGTAAGCTTTTATCTGATAAAACCCCCTTTGTCTTGGAGATTGTGTCTCTCACACGTTTGGATTGGAGAGCTGGTGCTAATTATGGTTTAGGATTTGAAAGCATTATCCACGAATGTAGGAATCTCCTCCCCCCGCAGTTTGATCGAGACAATTGGATCTCGGAGGGCTATCGTTTTTGGTAGTAGTGACTGGTGATATGGGGGTTTGGAAAGCTGACGATGCTATAGTTGATCCATGGTTTAACTTCCGTGCCTCTAAATACCTCGTCAAGAACGGGTTTTACAATTTCTGGGACTGGTTTGATGATCGTATGCTCCCTATTCTTTATACAACATTCGGCTTGCTGCACTTCACCTTTGTGCGGATTTCTAACTTGAACGTGCTTTTAGGAACATGGCATCCGCTCGGTCGTGTTACTGGAGGAACTCTCTATCCAGGTCTCATGGTGACCTCCGGTGCAATTTACCATATTCTCCGTATGCTCTCTATGCCAGTCGACATTCGGAATATCTGCGTTCTCCTCGCCCCGGCATTCTCTGGCCTCACGGCCCTCGCAACATACCTCTTTACCAAGGAGATGAAGGATGAATCTGCAGGTTTACTCGCTGCGGCATTCATTGGTATTGCACCCGGTTATATTTCTCGTTCTGTTGCGGGTTCATACGATAACGAGGCAATTGCTATCTTCCTGCTGATGTTCACCTTCTACCTCTGGATCAAAGCGTTGAAGGATGGGAGTGCCTTCTGGGGTGCTCTGTGTGCCTTGTTTTACTTTTACATGGTTGCTGCCTGGGGTGGATATGTTTTCATTACGAACATGATACCTCTGCACGCATTTGTGCTGGTCTTGATGGGCAGATACTCGTCGAGGTTGTACGTCGCATACACAAGTTGGTTTGCTCTCGGGACGTTGGGCAGCATGCAGGTCCCGTTCGTCGGTTTCTTGCCTATCAGATCTTCTGAGCATATGGCTGCACTTGGTATGAGCTTCCGAATATCTTATTTCTGGCCTAGCAATTAGCTAATGCATATGTAGGTGTTTTCGGACTTCTCCAACTTGTCGGATTCGTCGAATTCGTCCGATACCAGGTTCCATCTCGCCAGTTTAAGACATTGCTCAAGGCTTTGATCTTTATCGTCTTTGCGTTGTCTTCTGCTGTGCTTGTGCTTCTCACACTTTCTGGAGTTATTGCACCCTGGTCTGGTCGTTTCTATTCACTTTGGGACACAGGATACGCCAAGATCCACATTCCTATCATTGCATCCGTCTCGGAGCATCAGCCTACCGCATGGCCTGCTTTCTTTTTTGACTTGGAGATGCTCATTTGGCTATTCCCTGCCGGTATCTACATGTGTTTCAGCACTCTTCAAGACCAACATGTCTTTGTTATCATCTATGGTATCATGGCCAGCTACTTTGCCGGTGTGATGGTTCGTTTGATGTTAACCTTGACTCCTGTCGTCTGTGTTTCCGCCGCCATTGCTCTGTCAAATATCCTGGATGTTTATCTTTCAATCAAGACCCCTGCGGCTCCCGCAGTGGGTGCCCAAAGTGTTGATGAGAGGAAGGAGAAGAAACCTCGTGTCAACATTCTCAGCGCTAGCAAAGACTCCATTGTTGGAATTTACTCCAAGGCTTCCAGCATTGCTGTTATTGCTGCCTTCAGCATTTATCTCTTTGTTTTTGTTCTTCATTGCACTTGGGTTACTTCCAACGCTTACTCCTCGCCATCCGTCGTCCTAGCATCTAGATTGCCAGACGGATCGCAACATATCATTGATGATTACCGTGAAGCTTACTACTGGCTCAGGAAGAACACTCCAGACGATGCCAAGATTATGAGTTGGTGGGATTACGGATACCAGATCGGTGGTATGGCTGACCGTACCACTTTGGTTGACAACAACACTTGGAACAATACCCATATTGCTACCGTTGGTAAAGCCATGAGCTCCCGTGAGGAAGTTGCATATCCTATCTTGAGGCAGCACGACGTTGACTATGTTCTCGTTATTTTTGGTGGTCTTTTGGGATACTCTGGCGATGATATCAACAAGGTACTATTCTCCCCTTTCCCACCCAACCAAACCACGCTAACATACCTAGTTCCTATGGATGATCCGTATCGCAGAAGGCGTCTGGCCTGACGAAGTTAAAGAGCGCGACTTTTTTACCCCCCGCGGAGAATACCGTGTCGACGACGGTGCCACTGATACCATGAAGAACTCCATAATGTACAAGATGTCATACTACAACTACCAATCCCTATTCCCCGCTGGCCAAGCCCAGGACCGCGTCCGAAACGCAAAGCTCCCAGCTGTTGGCCCGACTCTGAGCATCTTGGACGAAGCTTTCACCAGCGAGAACTGGATTGTGAGAATCTACAAGGTCAAGGATTTGGACAACCTTGGTCGCGACCATGTTTCTGCTGCCGCCTTCGATGCGGGTAAGAAGAAGAGTAAAAGGACGAAGGTTGGCAAGGCGCAGAGGAAGTTGAGGGTTGTTTAGAATTTTTCTTGCGTTGTTTTTGTTGTGATTTTGTTAGGTTTTTCCTTTTGACTATATCGGCTCGGGATGGAGTAGGATGGAATGGAACTGGATATCTACTTGAATTGTAGCACCATCTTTTTTTTTTTTTTTTGAAACTCTTGTTCTAACTCTCCATTATGGTTAGATGGTGTGGATGGGGGTGAAAAAAATAAAAATAAAAGTTGGGTGTTGGTTGGTGGTTGTAAGATTATGATTGTGGGGGAGTGAAAGTGGGAGTGTCATCATACCAAAATAGGAACAAATTCAAGGGCAGTTTTGATCATATTTTATCACTCGGTTGAGAGTTTCGCTGCGAGGGAAGAGAACGAAGATGTGACGGGAAAAACAACTTTTGTTCAGCAATTGCTACAAGAAACCCTATTGCCTTGCGCACCTAAGCCACTCCGTCACACGGTATGATATAAGAGCCCAACTTGGTATCCATTATAGTGGAAGGGAAAAAGAATATGAAAGAAAAAAGCAGCATGTAAGATACAAGACTCTCCCACAATGACCCTGCACACTACCCCCCAGTAAAAACCCAATCTAACGGCGGGCGGAAAGGTTGCAATCTACTTCTTCGAAGTCTTGACCTTCTTCTTTGCGGGACCATCCTCACGAACCTCGACCTCCACGTCCCTCATCTCCTCATCCTCATCTTCGTCCTCCTCCCCACCGGGTCCATCCTCATCATCACTTCCGCCAGAGCTCTCATGCGCGCTATCATACTCCTCGGCAACGTCACTCTCGCTCTCGGCCTGGAAGTCCTCGTCAACACTCTCCTCGTCCTCGTCGGCGGAGCCCCTCGCGGCAGCAACGTCGTCATCGTCGTCCATGTCCTGGTCCTTGAGAGCCTGAGCGAGGAGCGCGCTAGAGTCGTCGACGAGGTCATTCTTAATGCGCAGGTTCTTGCTCTTGAAGAAGTCTTCCAGCGAGGACTGCTCCTCACGGTTGATGTTGTTGAATTGATACTCACCGCCGCCCTCGGACGACTTGAGCGAGACTGTCACGTCGAATGTTCTCGAGGCGGAGACACTACCTCCTACTCGTGACATGGTGATGTGTGCAATCTTGTCAAAGGTAATGAATACCGCGGGCTTCGGAACAAAGATGAAGGCCTTGTCTAGGCAAAAGAGGTGGCCTTCGTTGGCTTTCAAGGAGCACTTCACGCCGGATTGTTGGTGGTGGGAGGAAAAGTCCCTGCTTGGTGTGATTATGCGCTTGCCGGTTAGGCCTTTGAAGATCTGCGAGACGACTTGGTGCGCGGGGTTTTCGTAGTGCATCTGTAGCTTGCCCGCGTACCTCTCGTTGAGGAGGTCTTCGGTTATGTTCAGGTCGAATTCCATGTCTTCCTCACGCTTGAATTGCATTACCAGGAAGGGGTATTTGGTCTGACCCTGGCGGAGGGGTGGGTCTAGGCCTATCACTATCATGTTATGCACGTCGTCCGGCTTTGGCAGGAGAAAGAACTTTTTGACGTTCTCGAATTGGATCTTGTAGTCATAGGTTTTCCCGCGCAGGCGGAAGGATGACTCGTACATGTCTATGTCGTAACGACCTCTGCAAGGCTATTATTAGTATCGGTGGGGTGAGAAGTGAGGTGGGTGGGGGGACAAACCGAGGAGTAAGAAATAAGATATCCAAAAACGTAGCATAGGTATCTCCCGCCACCTCTCCGATATCGGCCTTCTCTTTAAGTGTATCATAAAACAGATTCGCAGCACTCATCTCCTTCTCTTCGCCTTCAGCATCGCTACCGGCCTCTTCATCCCCCTTCTTTACGGTCCCCGGAACATAGAACCTCATCTCAACAAGCTGGTCCAGTTGCGCCGCAGCTTTCTTCTTCTTCTTATTCCCAGCCTCGTTCGTTCCGCCGCCGCCCGCATCAGCGGTAGCGAACTCGACCGCGACCTCATTCTTCCCGGCAAGATTCGAATTCGACACTTCGGCGAAGGGGATCTCGAAAGCGGGCTTGTTGGCAACATTAAAGTACAATTCTGACTTTGAAAACTCGGCCTTGCCCCAGTTCCAGCCCTTCAGCGCGTGCTCGCGGTGCTCGAGGTTGACCTTGTAGTATGCTTTTAAGCATTCCTTGACCCTATCTAGGTCCTAGTGTGGCAGTTTAGCCACCGTGTTAGTATGTATTTGGAATAGGGATGGACGGAGTAGATGTAACTTACATCAAGCTCAAACCCATCCAACTGCACAATCCCCATGGTTCGTGTGAAAAGTTTCAATTCGTACCCGCGCGCCGCACGGCTCCACTGTGCCGTACTTAGCTCTGTATTTGCCATCTTCCAGATCTCGCCGGTGGTCGGACGCCAGCCCATTCCGCTCGGGGCGAAGCGGAAACGACCCGGTGTACGGGAGAGGTCGAGGAAGATATTTTCGAAGGTCTCGATGTCTGACGGCATTTTGATTTGAGGGCGGTATTTTTTTCCCTCTTATCCTTTTTTTTTCACCCTGGGTGTGTGTGCGTGGCTTTGATGGGAGAAGGGAAGGGAGGAGGTGTTGGAGGAGAGATGGTGGAAAAGAAAGGTACTGTACACCGTATACTGTATTATTGAGTGAAAGTTTGGTAAGACGCGAAGGCAGGAAAGCGCAGGGGTTGGTGGTCATGCCAAGCCGGGGTCCGTTTTAGGTTCATGTGCCTTGGAGAGAGGGTGGAACATGAGGATAAAGACAGGAGTGAGGGAGGGTAAGTTATTCTACTCGTACTCGGAGGGTCTAACACGAGTAGAAGAATCGGACACGGGACACAGGATATGAGGATTAAATATCAAAGAATTGATTTGGATTTGTAACTTGAGCTGGTTCGGTTCCCTTCCTTCTGGTCCCACAGCCAAAGCAGAATACCAGTATCTGGATCACTCGTTCATGGTTGTGCCCATAGCCCTTACCCCACCTTTCTCTTGCGGCCAAGGTGTTAAAGGTAGAAAGACGAACTCCTTTTATTAATGGGAGGCTATGGTACGAGTACTATGGTTTTTAAATTTATGCGAATAAATAGGTTAATGCTTATCCGTAATTTATTATACCCACTCATACCATGCGCTAACCTAGAGAATGTCCGATTGCTTGCTTTAGGAATGCTGAGACACCACTCGGTAGTCACACTTGTGGGTATTTTGTTACGCCCCGAAGCATTCGAGTACCTACCTCAGCATCAGGCTCTTGTGGTTATCACTCACACGGCCTGCAAGCTTACCATGATGCCAAATATAACGGTTGCGAGAGTAGCTGGCTTGGACCATAGCCTATCCTCGCCGACCTTCTGGAGGAAAATATTTTTGAGTTTTAGCAAAGAGCCAAAATCAGTGCCAACAGAGGGGCTAGTAGTGCAGATCATCTGCCCTAAACTGTACAAGACCACTGATTGATTGAGCAAACCCACACTATCCAGCCATTGGAGACGGAGTACAGTACGGTAAGCCCGTCAGCTGGAGCAACTGCACTGCATACCAACCTCCAACTTTGGCACATCCCCACACCACCTCTCAGCATCCTTCACCCCCTCCCATCGATCGGCAAATGGGTTCTCAACCAGCTTTATCACATCCCCCAACACACCCCTCTCACCCTTCTGCTCTACTCTCTGAATGATCTCTTCAAGAACCCAATTCTTCGGAATGAACTTTGGATTAACTTTTTTCATCCTCTCCATTCTCTTTGCATCCTCCTTTTCCTCTAGTCGCTCCGCGTAGAGCTTTAACCACTTGAGTATTTTCTCCGGCCCCTTCTGTACAGTCGTGAGCACAGCCTTCGGCATAAGCCCCTCTGCCGCAGTCAATTGGGCTTCCTCATCACTCTCCATAAGTTCAAAAATTGGCAATTCGGAAAGGCGTCTAAAGAAGTGGCCAAAGTCGACATGTGCGTCCTCGAGGATATCTAGTAGCGGGGAGTAAACATCATCCATATCTGTCTCCCGAAGCCCGGTAAATCCAAGGCGTGTTGCCATGAGTTGTTTGTATTCCGCTAAGAAAATAGATTTGTATTCTTCGCCGACTTCCTCAATGATCTTGTCTGCGCGTATGACCAGAGCTTCTGCGTCTGCTTCAGAGGTGAGGCCATCGTTTATGAAGGTCACTGAGTCGAGCATTTCGGGGGTTGCAGCGAAGAGCTCGGCGAGGTCTTCTGCTAGGCGGACGAGGTTCCACCAGATTATTGTTGGCTGATTCTTGTAGCAGTAGCGGAGCGTGTGGTCGTCGTGATTCGGTGTGAATTTGGGGTTGAAGCTCTATATTTTTAGCGATCGAGGGAGAGATTTTAGAGGGGGTACATACATCCATGAAAGAGAACGGTCCAAAATCAAGACTTAACCCCATGATGCTCGTATTATCAGTGTTCAAAACACCGTTCATAAAGCCGTATGCCTGCCATTTCGCTACCGTCAAGGCATTTCTTCGAACAATCTCCCTGTACATATCTTCGTACCTATTTCTAACTCCATCCCCGCGCACCCCGCTTGACCCGTCTTCACCATCTACCCTCTCCTTCGTTTTCAAAACCTCCTCCCGGACATAATCTGACAGAAGCCTCAAATTTTTTCTATCCCCCCTTGCTCTCAGAAGGTCAAAGGTCCCAATACGAATCCAGCTCTCAGCAAAGCGGCATACGATTGCGCAAGTCTCGATGTTCTCCCGAATGGCCTGATTGCCAGGCAAGAGTGTCAAACTTAGCGCCCGTGTGCTCGGAATACCGATCGAATATAGGTACTCCGATACAATAAACTCTCTGATACTGCTCCTCAGCACTGCCTTTCCGTCTGCGAATCTAGAATACGGTGTTTGCCCTGCTCCTTTGAGTTGAAGCTCGTATCGAATTTTGGTTTCTGGATTCGTAGCTTCGAAGAGCGAGATTGCTCGGCCGTCGCCCAACTGACCTGCCCACTGCCCGAATTGCCAGCCGCCGTAACATTGTGCCCATGGGTACGATATATCCTCGAAGCCGCCATTCCCAGAGACTAATCTGAGGAACTCTGGTTTTGTAGGTTCCGTGGAAGCGAGACCAATAGAACGGAGTGCCAGCGGTGATACGGCCAGGAGCTCGGGATTATCTTCTACCGGGTCGGGACGAACATATGTGTATAATGCAGCTTTTACCATGCGCGGACCGAGCTGTGAGCGGGTTGCTCCTGCAGAGGATTCAGGGGTCGGGAATTGCGCATCGGCTAGAGGAGGGTTAGTTCTGGGGGTTGACAGAAAGAGTAGGGAGGTTACGTGGGAGCTTTGTGGTGAAGACATTTGATTTTGGAAGATCTTGGAGGGTCACGCCGGTTGATTCTGAGCGGGACATGGCCAGGGAGCTGCGGGGCATTACCGTAGATAGTGTAGGTCTTATGCAGCGACTTATGCCAGAGGTAAGCATGGGCTTGCGGATTGAGGCTTGTGGTTAGCAGGGAGGAAAGAGGAACTCGAGTACTCGTAGAGAGGGGAGGGGGAGATGGGAGAGAGGGAATATTAGGTTAAGTTAGTGTGAAGGGTCAAGGCAGGCGAAATATCCGGGATTGCGCAGGTATGCGCTTGGCTGTCGTCACACTGGGGCTCTGATACCGGTAGATATTGGGGTCTTCTTTGATTGGGCATCGTTCGGTTGTTTAACAGGAGTGGGTGTGGGGGGTGACTTTGGGTAATGTATTACCAAGGGAGGGGGCTTAGAAAGTCGCTTTACTGAAGAAAAGATTGCCATTCAGTATTATTCGTGTCATAAATAAGGTCTTCTACAAGCACTAAGGAGAGGTTTGTAGCGGGCGGGCAGTCAGCTTCACGAGTGACTGCCAGTGATTTGACATAGGAAGTCAGGGTGTTGGAATTTATTAGTCACAGCTTCTATCACTATGGTACCATTTATCATCATGAATGATACCCTGTGAGTACTTATGATACTTCCTTTGCTTTGCTCTCTTTTGTGATACCCCTAACTGGGGGGAGATTTGATTAATTTTGCAACTATGATAATTATTATGATAATATTGTGATACTCGTGCTGAGAAAAAGTCTCCGGGCAGGTACGCCAAGACCGAACTCGAATTTTGAAAATCATATAGGTTCATGATCGGAGGTTTAGAGAAGTCAGAAGAAAAAAAAAAAAACCCCGAGAGCATACGCCAATAAACAATACTACTCAGAAATGAATAAACACAATAAAATAAATAAATAAAAACATTCTAGCCATTATATAGGTTTCCGCCATTTTGACAGGAAACCTCTGCTAAGCGGTTTGGAAGTGGTGCGAAGAAGGAATTTGTAATATTAACTGGAATAGACATCCAAATCTCTTTCCATGCCACAAGCGTAGCCTCCTTGGTTGTAGGAAACGGTTTTCGTTTGGCAAGATGTCGTCGAATATAGTCCCATACCCGTTCAATCGGGTTGAGATCTGGAGAAGCTTTATAAATGAAATTCATTTTCTTATTAGTAGTGTAAAAACAATAGGTAATTAGGAGAGAGTTACAGGCAGGCCAGGCAATCTTATTGATTCCAGAATTCGAATGATGTTCATTAAGGAATTTAGAGAAATGTGGTCCAGCTCCGTCTTCTATTAACAAGACTTGACCTGTAACTGGTACGGGTACTCGGTTATTGGTTTTGTTTTATGTTTTGTTTTAAGTATCGCTTTGATACTTGGTTTGTTTTAAGTATCGTTTGATACTTGGTTTTGTTTTATGTTTTGTTTTAAGTATCGCTTTGATACTTGGTTTATTTTAAGTATCGTTTGATACTTGGTTTTGTTTTATGTTTTGTTTTAAGTATCGCTTTGATACTTGGTTTGTTTTAAGTATCGTTTGATACTTGGTTTTGTTTTATGTTTTGTTTTAAGTATTGCTTTGATACTTGGTTTTGTTTTATGTTTTATTTTAAGTATCGCTTTGATACTTAATTAGTTTCACCAAAGTGTGTCGGTTGATATCTTTGATTAGTTTCGTTCATGCTAGACATGAACAGATTTGTGTATTTAAAGACCGCCTGTTTCTACGATAGAAAAGGCAGACTTCGACAGACAGTATTTCAATATACTTGGTTGAAGGGTTACTTCTTTGTTCCTCATTACACCCTCGTAGCCTCCTTTAGTTCTCAGCTCTCGCCTCCTCTCTGGGAGAGCAGGCCACCTGCCAACTATCGTATTAATTACCGATAATGTGAATAGCACCTTGCGAACACATCACATTTTTTTAACCTCAGCAAGTGGTTAAGAACCTGTCCCCGGATTTAGGCCTGATCAACCTATCGATATCCACCTCAGAACCCTAGCGGAGAGAAGCGGCAGAATCACAGCACATTTGGCTTCATCTCAAACCCAAGATAGAGTCTTTGACGACCAGGAGTGGGAAGCAAATCTTACGGCAAGACCTTACAAGAAAGAAACAACCCTGGCACTCTGCTAAAGAGCTGGGTGATCCTGCAAACACGGAAGATACACAACCTCCAGGAGAATTCCCTTCTACTCCAGCAAAGAAACCTTCCTTTGAACCTTCAATTGACCCCGAATCCAGCGGCGAATCAGATATGGCTAGCACAGGAGGAGGGCCTTCTGGAGGAGGAAAATCTCGGGCTAGGCCTGAAGAAGAGGAGGTACCCACAGCATTTGAACCCCCTAAGTTTAAACTGCACCTCCCAGTGAAATTCACAGGAGAAGGAAAAGACCTCAAACCTGAAGCTTTTGACCGATAGGCAACGGAACTCTCACACTTCCTACTCTTACAAGGAAATGATGTGGAAGACCCTACAACTGGACTTATCATTGGATCATTTTGCGAAGGAAAAGCAACCGACGCATACTACCAATGCTATAAGGAATAGGGCGGGAATGTAAGATTAAGAGGAACTACAGTTCTCGATTACCTGAAAGGACGATTCCAATCCTCTATAACTAACGACCTCCTATACAACAAATTCAACCAGCTCCAGCAAGTTAACGGAACGCATGTCAAGCGAATCACCGATGTGGCTACTGACCTGATGATGTATAAGGACCGGATGGAGAGAGGAAGTATCTCCAAATACATCCTGAAGCGACGATTCTACGACACTATGCACCCTACCCTCCGGTGAGAAGTAGAACCAATCGAGGAAGATGGCGATGATATTGCAGTAATAATCGCAAGAGCAGAACGAAAGGACGCCATTCTCCATGAAACTAAGGCCTACAAAACACAGACATCCACTAGCAGGAATAGCCAGCCACGGCACAAAGCCTCCAGCAACTCTGAAGACGATACCCCACGGGTTTTCAAGTAGACAACAAAATACTCCAAAGAATCAAGACGGCAGAAAGGAGAGTGTTTTGAATGTGGAAAAACAGGACACATGGCAAAGAACTGTCCTACGAAGAAAGGGAAAGGAAAGGCAATTAAGCAAGAGACATCGGCCAACAATGTTGAAAGCGATAATACCCAATCCAGCGAATATGAAGAGATCCATATTGGATATATCGATGTGGAATGCAACAGTGTTCGACCTCCAGCTACATTCAAAGCACACACCGCTCTAGAAGGTACTATTCTGATCAATGGTAAAAAGGCTCGAGTCCTATTTGACACTGGCGCAATCGGAAGAGATATGATCAGTAATGCCTTTGTCTCTGTCCATGGACTCCCAACTCGAGACCTTAACCAACTCATACCTGTCAATATGGCAGTAAAGGGATCACGATCCATAAGCCATAAAACCTGTAGTGCGACTATTCGACTTGGTTCTGCAGTCCTACACCCCCAGGAAATGCTGGTTGAAAATTTAGCCAAATATGATGCCCTAATAGGTATGCCATTCCTGAACCGCCACAAAGCTATAATCAGGTGTGGGGAATCAACCATCGATTTCCCAGATCAGAAGGTCAGAGTCTCATGCAAGCCAACAAGCGGAGAGTACCGAGCCGCAGTCTGTGAAGCAACTACCCAACGACTATTGGACGAATACTCTGATATTTTCCCTGATCAAATACCCGAAGAACTACTGCCTATGAGAGAGGTGAACCACCACATTCGCCTCCGAGACCCCTCTAATCTCAAAAACCAACCCACCTACTCTATTCCTGACGCATACAAAAGCCCGCTTTGTGATTGGATCAACCAACAACAAAGAAGAGGAGTCATCTACCGAGCAGAAGCCCCAGGTACCGCTCCTATGTTTGTTCAACCCAAAGCAGATGGCAAAAGAATTCGCCCCTTGGTTAACCTCAAGCTACGGAACGAAAACACGGTTATGGACAGCTCCGCTATCCCAAACCAAACCTAGATCCTAAATGCAGTTGGATGGGCTAGATTCCGAAGTAAGATTGACCTAAGTGATGCCTATTTCCAAACAAGATTAGATTCAGAAAGCGAACACTACAACAGTTTCAAAACACACTACGGAAGTTTCTTCAGCCGAGTTATGTTACAAGGTGATATGAATGCGCCCGCCACCTTTATGCGAATTATGGAAAACCTCCTGAGCGAATACCTCCACCATTTTGTTTGGGTCTACATTGATGATATTCTCATCTTCTCGAACACCAAAATAGAACACGCCTACCATATAGGTTTGGTTTGTACCAAACTTAGGGAAGCTAAATTCTACGCTAGTAGAAACAAATTAATTATGTATGCCGATAAACTCGATATCCTTGGACATGTTATAGATGATGAAGGAATACATGCAGCCGCTGGAAAAATATCCTGTTTGACGGAATGGACGACACCCTAGAATTAAAAAGAACTCATGCGGTTCCTAGGACTAGTCAACTATATTTCCCAGTTCCTACCACATCACGCCACTGTAACAGCGCCGCTCACAGACCTTACTGGCAATGCAGAATTTGTCTGGACCCACACTCAGGACCAAGCCTTTACCAACATCAAGGAGTTAATTAAGAATGCCAACGTTATTCAACCTATCGACTATAGTAAACCAGAACCGATATGGCTGATTACTGATGCATTGGATGTTGGAGTTGGAGCATAGGTTGGACAAGGGGCCTCCCATGAAATGGCGAGACCGGCAGCACTACACAGCAGGAAGTTCACTAACTCACAGATGAACTATGAAACAACAGACAAGGAAGCCCTTGCTGTGATTAATGCTCTCGCCGCTTTCAATCACATCCTGATGGGCAATACCTTCACCATTGTCACCGACCACCAACCCCTCACCAATCTTAAAACAGAAAGAATACCTGGAAGGAGAAGAACAAGATGGATAGGCGAAATCAGCAAATACGATGCAAAAATCATCTATACTCCTGGAAGAACGAACTATTTAGCTGATGTTCTCTCTCACCTATATGAGAATCAAGACCTCTCAAACCCTCCTCTTGTTCACGACCACAAATGTAACGTG